GATGATGCAAGGTGAAGGCAAGTGCAGTCCACTCCCACCCCATCTCCCACCCCAGACAGATTTGAACCCAACTGTGGGTGGTACCACCTTAGACACGAGATATGCAACAATTCATTTCAGTCAGTGTAGTCTATTTTGGGTAGAGTCCATTGAGCCGAGAAGCTCTTTGTCAATGGCGATCCTGCCAAAAAGGCTGATGTGACGGTAGCCAGCGCATTATATGGGAAGGGAGGTTTTTACAGGGGCTGCATAGCACGGCTAGAACGACGGTAGCCAGCTTGTTACATGGGGGGGAAGGGTTTATACATGACATGTACACATTGGGGAACGGTAGCACATGTGTGTGCGAGACTGAAAAGATGTAAACAAGTTGTGTGCGTCAACTTTTGAATGGTTGCCGTCCCATAGATTTTGAGTAATAATTTTAATTTGTAACTCGCCAATATACGGTATTCGCTCACTCCCAAAGAGAGGGAATGGCTGAAAGGCCCGAGGAGGAACCACAGATGGGCAGGAAAGGCAGCAGCCAGGCGTTGGGTCGGCGGCAAATTCGACCCCAAGCTCTGTGGTCCTCTATGTATTAAGGTGTCATTGGCCAATTCATTCGCGTTTACATGTGGGAGCAAGCGGAGCACTTGGACAAAAAACCCACGTGTGTTAAGGGACAACACTGTTCCTTACAGATGGAATAGGCGGAGTCCACATTTTGCTACATGGCCTTCTCCTGGCGAGCCAGGGTACAGCCCCTCCTTGACAACGAAGGGAAGGGGATTTCGCAACATTCGAGAGATCCCCACCAACCATCGCCTCCACAGTTCTGGATTACGGGGCCACGTGCACCACCAATCCATTGCTGGATGAAGGCCTTCCCACACATCACACACACTCTGATTGGGGGGTTGCTGTGCACAGCTGTACCGGCATATCCAATGGCATATCCAATACTTATTTTTTATCTTGAAGGGTGCCTTAGTTTGGCTCAAGCAGTATTAGCTAATTAAACTGCATTGTAATAAACCCATAGTGCCCTCAGTCAGTGAGTCTACGTATTCCGATATGCATTGGGTCGTGGATATTTCTTTTGGTGGGTCTTAATCAGTTTTTGATATTCCACATTCCTTTGGTGGAGCCTAAATAAGTGGTAGTTGAACCACTGTTGACTTCTTCAAAAGTGATGCTGAATGTATCACCCCACCTTCAATGTGATGGGCCAGGTCCATGCCCACCCAGGAATTTATGACCTTCCTGAAGTGAGTCATACTCCGCCACAACCCTACCTGGCTGCATAATCGTAAAATACCCAATCAATGTTAATAAGACATGCCCTCAATAATAAACTGGTTTTACTGCAATGTGACGAGCATCTTTTAAGCAGGCCACATGGGAATGTGGCGAGCAGTGGCCAGTACATTGTGCTCTAAAGCTTGCGACCTGAATTCAGTTCCCAGCTGCAGCTAACGTCAGTGGCAAGTGGTATCTAAACTGGTCCCTAGGTCCCAATAAGCAACCCGCATTGACCAATATGGCGGATGTTCAAACTAACCCCCATCGCCGACACAGTGTTGGAAGTGCCTCCATCCAGCAGTGGATTTAGAAGGGGTCACTAGAACGGTTTCTCGGAAGTAGTTTTGTGATATCGCTTTCCATGGAGATTTTATATACCTTGTCGTGCGCTGTTCTGCGAGCCTTCTTAATGATTACAATGTCTTATGAGACAATGGCCACTTTGGGGGAGCGGGGGGGGGAGGAATGACTTATCAATCGATCCCTATCCACCACGACCTTTCGTCAATTTTATTGTAATAATATATTAGAGCCCGTTGAGACCAAGAGTACCTTTGCCAACACTGTGTACATGTACACTAACAGAACGGCGGTTGAAACATCATTTATTGTGATTTATCAATGACCTAATTATCTGAACTTTCCCAATCTCATTACATCCCGGTTCGTCCATAGCAGGTGTTTTATGGCATTGAGGGCGAGATGACGGTACAGCAATGGGTGCTGTCAATTTGGGCCACCTACCGAATTGATTTTGTATGTGGATTGTATAATATCTTCGTGCGGAGCATTTGTGTGTTGTGATAATAATTCCATGTATATAGTGGCTTTTCATCAAGGATCTTAAAGCGCCGTACAGGACACAGCAGCAGCAGGCACTCAGCATAAAAATGATGTTATAAATACGTTTTAAGAATAATTTACTAAGAATAGGGTTTTACCCGTTTTTCTGGTACCAAAACTGAAACCTTTTTACGAGGCATCATGTCTGCATTAACCACAATACTTGTGGTCTAGCACCATTTGAGACGAGGCTCAAAAGAAAGCTGTCTCTGGTGTGGACCAATCAGTTTCAAGGACAATACATATATTATGTGTTTTTGTTTGCATTCTGACCACAAGCATTGTGGTTAATGCAGACATGATTCCTTGTAAAAAGCTTTCAGTTTTGTTGCCAGAAAAAAAGGGGAAAAACCTATTCTAATATTTTGGTACTGGCAAAGGAGGTCTCATTAAATATTTTACTAAATGAACTAAAAGTTGAATAAGCTGGAAATCAAAACTGTGATCAATGGGATTGTCCCAGCATACCAATGTGGGACTGCTGAAAGAGAGGTGAGACTCGGTGAGTATTTAATGGAAAAAAAAAGATTTTCAGCTGCGTCACAGAGGCAGGATGCGGGGGCATCCACCGTTCTTTAAAGGGCCACAGTAATCGACCCCAAAAAGACAGAGACAATTATTATTATTATACTTAGTCGATTAATTTACATAACCATATCATGGTCCCCGCTGTGTACTGTATTGTGACGACTATGCTGAGCCCACCACATTCAATCAGTAGGTGGCGGGGTGGGGAGGGGGGGGTCGGCACGTTATAGCCGACCGTCAGAACAAACGACCGGCCGAAGAGACCCGTCGCCGGTCCCTGCCGGTTCTCGCCTGCCGCCCAGCGCGATCCTGTTTAGAGAGCTCCGCTTGCCTCTTATTTTGGACTTGTTTCTGTTTCCGGTCACGCATTGCGCCACACGATCGTCTTGCAGTGGTAAACGGGCGCAGTTACGGTTTTTACCCGGAGTGCCTGGTTAATTGAAAGCAATAAGGGGTCTCCTGTTTAAAGTGACGGTTCGAGTAAAGCTAGATTTCTCTGCTGTTGGCGTGCTTAATTAACCTCTCATGGCACTAGCTTACTGATGCTACGGATCGTACGTCGATTCCTACTTAGTTTAATTTGGGGTAGATCGTGTAGGTATCATGTAAATAACAATAAAGTAATATTTTGTTATTCTTATTTTTTCTATCTACGTGACTTTACCGAAAGACCCAAAGAATATGAATTCCTGCAGTCACGAAAGCTTTAAGTCAAGATCATGTAAATGTGTTGATGATAACCTTCCACCACCCAACAGAGCCAATCAAATCGAGTTGTCACGCCATGGGCAAACGTGCTGATTGATTTGGTTCATCAGCAAACCAAAGGGGGAAGTGATGTTGAGAAACCCAAGCATCGTTTTGACTTTTTTCGATTTAAAGCTTTCGTGACTGCAAGGATTAATCTTCTTTGGTTCTTTCGGTAAAGTCACGTAGAATGAGTGACTTCACCGAAAGAACCAAAGAAGATCGTTTTGACTGATTTGTCTGACATTTCGCTGGAAGATTACATTCGGCATCATCAGGCATTAATAGGAACTAAGCTCTTCCGATACCTTTATACCGTATTTAAAATTAAATTGAATTATTTTTTAAACAAAGAGAGAGTTGCAACCCGCAAAAAAAGGGATTATCTTGTGCATAGATTAAACGGCTTGTATGTAAATATCTCTTATGTTACGGATTTAATATTTATCTTGTTGATCATTTTAAATGACTCGCACAGCGCGGATTGTGTCAGAGAAAGACTGGTGCTTTCCTTGGCGGTGATAGCTTTGCCCACTAAAAGAACGGTGCAAACAGCAAATTTGTATCCTCAATTAAGTTTGTCAACATTACGCCCACTTTTCAAAGTTAACAAGTTTTTCTTAAAAATAAAAAAATCACACTCACTCGGCACATTTGTCCACGTGACAACTTGATTCGTTTGTCCATGTCGGGTGGTGGAGGGTTTTCGGTCTAACTGAAATCTCTCTGTCTCGACCAGCCTCCAGAAAATCACGTGGCTTCTGCGTGGCCACCCCCTCTTTGAACCCCTTGCTCTCCCCGTTGCCACCCACTGTGAAAACAGACACTGCCCCTCGGTGCAGCAGCAGCAGCAGCAGCGTTGAGGTCCTCATGCAGCCTCTTCCTCTCCTCATGTCTTCTGACCCCTTTGCCCCCGTTCCTCTGTTCCTTCTCCATACTTTCCCTCTTAATCCTCATTCATTATCTTCCCTTTCCCATTCCTTGCTCCGTTTGCATACATCAACGTCCTAGGCTCTTGCGCCCCTTCCGTTGGTGTGTGACGGGTAAATAAAAAAATCGCTCGTTTGCAACTACGCGATCTTACCAGAAAGAAACAAATATTAATCGTTCATGAATTGAAGCAATTTGCGGGACCTCGGGGTCCCATCACTGCCCCGGGGTGGGAAAAACCACGTAGCGACACGAGTCTTGCCTTACCGACAACAAAACTAGTGTCAATCGATTGGCCTTGTCGAGAGCTACTCGGGGCACTAAGTTTCGTAAAAAGTTGAAAAATTACATAAACACGTTAAATTCACTGCGGATGCGGACTCGCCTTGGCAAAGAAGCTGAGGATTGACGACTGACCGGAGGGCGTTGTTGCCGCGCGCGACCGCGGCGGACGCCCGGGCTTGCGTTTGGCCGGTGGGATGGCGCCCATCGTGTTGATCGCCGCCTGCTGGCGCTTGTTGGCACGAGTCTGGGCGGGCGGCGCGTTGCTGTCGGGATCACGAGTGGGCGGACTGAAAAATAATAATTATTGACCTGATTTTTGCGGGACCCCGGGGTCCCGCCAAATGATTAAATTGCGTTTTGTTGCTCCCGCGGTCGTGTTTCAGGCCTACGCGTCTGGCTGTGACATCGTGATCCTCGGCAGCAACTTTGAGCGCGTACAGATCATCCCGGGCTCCAAGCATGGAAACATCCAGGTCGGCTGCCTCAGCTGCTCTGCGCGCCTCGGCAAGGTGAGCCTCGCCCTGCAGGAACAGCGCAGCTGTAACCCATGTCGTGCACTGAGTGGCGATGCGTGCGCAGGATAGTAATAGTGCAAATTGAAACGCACGTGATATTTTGCAGACATCATGAATGACGGTGACTCTCAGGTGCGGAACCGAGCTGAGTGTCACTCAAAAGCCGGGTGGGAGAAGTGGGGGGCCTTGAAGAGAGAGATGGTGCCCTCTAAGTGTCTCTTGAAAGTCTGTGTGAATTGAACGCTGTGCAGCAGGGACGATGATAACTGCATTCCACATGGCGAGGGTTGCCACGGAGAAACAACTCCCGGCAGTGACCATGGTCCCTGTCCTTGGTGTAGAGAGGAGTAGGAGATTGTGAATCGCACTGCAGATGGGGAGCAGCCAATTGCTAAGACAGACATCGGAGTGACATTATGCTAGACGTGTGAATTGAGGCACTTGACTGCGAGAGAGGGTCATTGGCTTTGGAGCCTGGAGCGGGGCGTGGTTCTCGGCAGTGCCTACGGCCACAGGAGAGGAATTCCAGACAATGGGAGCAGCAGAGTAGAAGCAAGCTCGCGGCGGCCTTGCTTCTAGCAAAGTTTGAGAGTTTTGACAGAAGGCCTTGGTGGATGGAGTGGGGAATGCATGAAGGGAAGCAGAGCAAAATGAAAGCATTGAGGAATTTTCGTTGAATTGTGTGCAGGGTGGGCGAGGGCTCATTGCAGAGACAGGCGTTGGAGTGGTCTCCGCGGGTCGGGCGACCTAGTGTTAGACCTCAGGGCGGATGGTGGGAGACTGTGAGGCAGCTATCGGAGGTCGTTGTGTGTCCACTGTGCAGCAGCTACGGGACCGGGCGGAGGGTAGAAAGCGTTTGCTCCGTGTGGCTGCATCGGATCTCGATCTTGATGCAGGACTGCCAGCTCGGCACTGTTATGCCTCTTTTTCACTCGCACATCTGAGCCGTGTTGGAGCCATGCCGAGCCAACGCGAAGCAGCTTAGGAAGCACGGGTTGCTTTTCCACTACCCAAGCTGAGCCGTGCTGACGTTACACACAATGTGAGACGTCTAGATTCCGTATCATGAGATCTTCTCCATTTGTGTGTTGTGTGCGCGTGCCTTCCAGATTGCAGCGTCTTACGGAGACACCGTTTCCATCTTTGAGCCTTTCCCGCTGGTCAACAAAGCAAGCAACCCCGTACGTGATGCGCTGTTCACACATGCGAAGAGCCGACTCGTAATTTGACGAAAATTGATGACACGTCCACTGTTCGCCAGTAATTATTAGCTTCTCAGCAACGCATGCCCGACCCCCCAGTGTCTTAACTATTGCCCTATGTTCACAACGTAGCCCCATAGCAGCCTACAACATGCATGGTGGGTACTTATTAAAGCACTATACAGGCTCCACTACGCTTAGCTTATGACATGTGACGAGTTCTGCGGTATGCCAGGTGATTTGGCCAATGTTATATCTTGGCACTAAAGTGAATAAGCGTGCATTTGCAGACTTGGGTGACTGTGAATAGTTCATCCATTGTGTTGTTTCTGTGATGAATTACATCGAAGTCAACAATGTAACCCTCCTCCCCTAGAGTAGAAACCCATACAGGCACACTCTCGCTCAAACATACAGCTGCTTCAGCAAGGAACGCTCTCTCCCAGACTCACTAAATATATTCCGCTGGTCTCGGCAAATCCAAATATTGTTCCGTCTCAAGGGATTATCCTTCATTCCCCAGGTAAAACATTTTGGTACTAAAAACGTGCTCCGTGTGTGCGTTTGCCCACCCAGCTCGGCTTGCAGTGGCACAAGACAGGGCAGCTCAAGGTCCCATCTGCGGTCCTGGATCTGGCATGGGACCCTCAGGGTGAGAGAGCAATCATGTGGTTTGGCGGGTGGCGCGGTGGCCACGGATGCTAAGGGATGGTGGGGATGCCATGGAGCCATGTTACGCCTGTGCTTGCGGTCATTGATTATGCTCGATTGGTGAAGAGTTTGTGAAAAATGTGAAACCGTGGGGCTTTTGTTCGTAACGAACTGGACAACGAATTAGGGAGACGGTACAGTAAACTATACAGGCGGTATCGACGACGTTGGGGACAGGTTAACTCCGGAAACGCAAGGCAGACAACAGACGAGACGGCACAAACGGAACGGACAAGACACAAACAGTACACGGGAAGATGCCTTGGTACGATGGAAACAACTTGCGCTTTCGACAGGACGGTGTGTATGAGACTGTTAAAATGGGACGGTGCAAACAAGATTAAAATAATCAACTGTGATTTCAAGCGTGAGCTCCAATTGTGACAATCAAATTGCGAAGGGGGCGAAAGGGTCGGTGGCGAACTGGTGCATGCTCAGGCGCGTGAGCAAGGAGGAGCTTGTAACACATTGTGTCTGGGTGGGGGTGTGTGTGCGCGTGTCAGTGTATGTATGTGCATCACGTGTCAGGGGAGTGGTGGCTACAAACCCTCGTGACCCAAGTTGGATTCCCGCTCACGTCAAATAAAAGTAGCAAATATTTGAACCGGTCCTGGGCCTCCGCTCGGTCAACTCCTCCTTAAATGAGTACTTGGTGAGGGTGTGTAAACATTAGCACTGGGGAGACAAAGGTTGCTTGTCATGGTGATACCTGCCCACCCCTGCGTGTGCCGTGCCGCCTTTCATAGGTGCAACTCACTAACAGCCCTTGCCCCAACAGTCTATTAATGGCTATACGGGGGGGGGGGATCTCTGTCTTTGTGTGCGTGTGCGCTTGCACAGCCGATTCTCTGCTCACCGCCTCCAGCTCTCTGCAGCTGTGGTCGTGCTCCCCGGGGTCGGAGGTCGCAGTGGACAGCCCCGCGAGCGAGTCGGCGCTTACGGGCTGCGTCTGGGCGGCCGTCTGGACGTGCAGGTTTGGGGCAGCGCGGTTTCGCCGGGCACATTCTTCAGGGGAGCGCGTCAAAAAAGCCGCACTTGTTTCAGGGTGCTAAGTGCATACCCGTAGCAGCGCGACAAAACCACGCTCTCGGTGAAGTGTGATAAACGTGTGCTCAAGGGAGCGCGTCAAACCGACGGCCAAGAGTTTGTAGTTACCCATATTCAAGGGAGAGCGTCAAACATATACTGAAAGCCGTGCATCACACACACACGTAAGCTTTAATCACTGCATCTCACTGGATTGCTACTCTTTCCCACTGATGCCGCCTCCTTGATCCCCTATCCTCTGATCCCATGTCCCCTGGGTGTTTGACTCAGCCCTCCACCCCGTAAGCCACGGCTTCCTCATGCACTCATTGCTTTGATTCTCTGTCTCTCTCTCTGCCAGGACCGCGCTTCCTGTCACGCAAATCAAATTCTCTCCGGATGGATATTTTTTCGCTACCACTGGCAAGGTGAGCTACAGAAATTCTACTCGAAAATGTTTTTTTGTAAAAATTGTCTTGTCCCAAATTTGTCCATTTCTCGGGGCTGATAAATTTTACAACTGGGCTGAGGAGCAAGGCTGCTTGTGTGTGTGTGTTGTGGTGAGCAGCACTTGCCCCAACAGTCTGTTAAGGGGGGGATCCTTGTCTTTCTGAATCCTGATTGCTACGTGGCACCTCTTAAATTAATAATATTTGCGGTTAATGTTTTCGAATTTGCCATATTGAAACCGTGATGCTGGCACACAATAGCCTCTCAGTTCGATTGACACCGGGGGATCTCCAATGTCCAATTTGAAGCGGGCGGCGTGTCGTGTTTTATGATTTTTTTACACCACGGCGATAACCAGGACAGCTGCCGGGCTCGAACTGCAAATCTCTGAAGCGGTGAACGCACCACCGCCGGGCTGGAATTTTTGTTTCGTTTTCACCGAGAGCGTGTCCTGCCATCTTAACGCATGTAGTCTCCGTGTGTTTTTTGGCACGTGTGCCACGTCACCAGAACGACTGCCTGGTGAAGGTGTGGTACCGCACGGATGGGTGGCACGCGTGCCGGGTGGTGGGCGTCTCCGGCGGTGGCAGCTGTACGGACCCCGCGGTGATGCCGACGGAACGGCCGGCATTCTCGTTTGCGTACCTGGCGCACCCGCGTGCCGTCACCAGCCTCTCCTGGAGGAAGACCAGCACGTACCTGCCCAGGTGCGCGCGCGAGTAACGCCTTGTGGTCGCCAGGTGCCGTTGGGAACGGCGTGAACCGACTCTGCTGCCGTTGTGGATCCCTTGTAGCCCCTGACATAATTCCGTGTATTTCAGATAATTCCCGATGCTCCAGTGATTCAAATAAAATATATTTTTCACCCCTCAATTTTGTCTTGCCCCTCCGGTAAACAATACGGCCTTGTGGCTCAGCGGTAAAGTGCGTGACTCGCCTTACCACCAGCAGCACTGGCCCCAACAACTGGAAAAACCGACGCTAAGTATCCTTTATCTTTGGTCCACATTTGTTTTTGGGCGAGGCCAAGCTTGGTGCAAAAATTATTGTCATTCTGTCACCATTAACCCTTAAGGACGAAATTTTTGGTATAAAACTACCACGTGGCCGAACCTAAAAACAAACGCAGATTGTTTGTACCGGCTCTTTTGCAACCTACGTTCCATCTATAATAGAGGTTTTTTGGGGGGGTTTTATCGCGAAAATGTGTCGATAAACCCACCATCACCTGACACAGCCAATTAGTAAGGTTTGTCACGTGAACAAAACATGCCAATTAGTTATTAGTTCAGCACACCCGTGTGTTGGAGACTTAATCCACCACATGTACAATTCAAGTGCGACGTTTCGCCGGTAATTTCAACCGTTCCATCTGTTGTGTGCATCGCGCGCGCAGGGGCGCCGCCTGCAACACGCTGCTCACGTCGTGCCGCGACGGCATCTGCCGCGTGTGGCTGGAGACGGTGCTGCCCGAGGACTGCCTGCAGGAGTGCCCGGCCGTGAGCGGGCACGGCGCCCGCGGGGAGCCACCGCCGTCCGTGCGGCTGGCAGCCGCCGCGGGGCCGCGCGGGAAGGCCCAGCGGGAGCGCATGCATCACATGCTCGGGGTGGGTGGCGCATAATGGAGCAAACAAAACTGCACAAACAGGACGATCGTGGGCAAAATTATTACAACCCAGATGGCACAAATTGAAATTGGGTTGTTGACCACGAATCTCAATAATGAATGCGATAGGCTGCGTAAGGGTGGGTGAGCTGTGAATGGTGGAGGTGCGTGCTTCGTGGATGAGTGCATGCTAGTGTGGCGCGTGTGTGCACGTTGGGGTGCAGTCGTTCCAGCAGCTCAAGATGCTGAAGCGCAGGAAGCGCACGCTGCAGAGAGACGGCCTCGGTTCAGTACTGGCCGAGGCCCTGCCAGGGTCGCCTGCGTTACCACGGCAACCGCGCATCCTCGCCCATTTCCACATCGCCGCCAGTATCAACCCCAAAACAGGTGGGTGACTCACAAGACTGTTCGTTAGTCGATTTATTCGTAAGTGCAACTTTATTCCTGTCGATTCCAAACATGGGGACGGTGTGTACACTAAACACGGTGAATGGCTTTAAAAGTTGTATAATCTTTACTCGTTCGGTAAAGTCACGTGACTTTACCGAAAGAACCAAAGAGTATGGATTCCTGCAGTTACGAAAGCTTCAAATCAAGATTGTATCATCTCCTTTAGATGCCACTGGTTCTTCATGTTCTGCAGATGTAGATGCCACCACCACCATCTATTGCGCGGCGGTTAAACTTACGACTCTTGGTCCGAACAAGCAACTGGACATTCGGACAGATTTGTTTCTTACCTCTGAAAGTTCGTAAGTCGAATGTTTGTAAGTAGAGGAGTCCCTGTACATATAGTGTAGTCCTTTAAATTGCATCTCACAGTCGATGAGGAACCACAGACTAGTTGGAAGGCAGCAGGCAGGCGGTGGAGCCGGCGCTACCAACAATTGCCCGAGCTCTGCATCGCGGCGCCGTTGTCACGCCCAACGCCGCTCGTTCTCCGTGTTTAACCTCCCGAACCTCGTGCCGACGCAGACATCCCGCTGATGCCGGCAATGGGCTGCCCGGGAGTGGATGGCGACGGGCCCCCGTTCGTCGTGCACTGGCTGAACAACAAGTACCTGCAGTTCACGCTCTCGCTCGAGTGCCTCCTGCAGCAGCTGCAACCGCCGGCACCGCCGGGGGGCAGCAGGGGCGGCAGCGGCAGGGCGGCCGACGCCGGGTCGCAGGAGGAGGCCGGCGGAGAGGTCGGCGGCCGCGACGCCCCGGACGGCAACAGCGACAACCACAGCTCGTCCCGCGGTGCGTACCGAGCGACGGGTGCAAAAATTGGGGACGTTGTCGTAGACTATTAAGATAAAGTTTGGGGTGGTGATGGCCATTGGAATTTACCTTGTGACGGAATGACAGTCGGAGGAGAGTAGGAGTCGTTTATGATATGTGGGAACAGCTGCATTCAGGAATTGCGAGTGTTCTTGATGACGACATCGATGGGTTTGGCGGGGGTGGCTCAAGACAGGTTTAGATAACGCTGATGGTAGCCGTTGTCTCTAACTGAACTCGGGTGGCTGGGTTTGCAGCGCAGCGTGCTAACTAACAAGCCACCGCTCCGCCATCTTTGTATGACCGCGCAGAATCCGAGGACGGCATCTGCTCGCTGGACGACGGCTCTGAGAAGGAGAGCGACACCCCCACCGGCACAGCGCCGCGCCGGCCCCCAGGCATCAGTACCACCACCAACACCACCCTCACCGCCGCCGCGGCGGTGGCGGCGTCCACCCCGACAGACGGCTCGGGGCCGCTGGGCGGTACCGGGAGGCCCAAGCACGCGGGCGCGGCCGGGGCGGCGTGGCAGGTGGAGAATGGACTTGACTGGCTGGTGAGGGACTGGCAGAGCGCGCCCGACATGCTGTACAGCGTGCACGCGCTGGACGGGTCCTTCCTCGTGTGGCACGTCGACTGGCTCGACGAGAGCCAGCCCGGCGTCTTCAAGCAGGTGCAGGTGAGGTTGCCGCCAGCGTACACGCCGGCACCACGGCCACGCATCGCCTATACAGTCACCAGTCATCGTCGGCGTCGTCATCAGCCGCGATTAGTCCGCTGGCGGGCGAAGGCTTCGGCGTGCAACCGCCGTGGTTTTACTCGTACCCTTCCTTGATCGGGCACAAACCAACTCGCTGTGCTTTGCAATGTGCCCTTGCCTAGAAACATTTCACGATACATTTTCTTTGATTATAGGATACTCTTGATTCTTTTTTCTCTGAGTCTGATAAACATACCCAGACATACCGAGCGGAAACATAACTCGGACTAATACGTGATAACAACGAAATGGTTTTACCCAGGGTTTGGTGCGTTGATGTAAGAGTGTCGGTGTGGTGCTGTTGATTTGTTGGTGTAAATCTGGTGGTGCTATAATTATGTTGATGTGGTGGTTCTAAATCTGGTATTGTTGGAGTTATTGTCGCTTGGTGTTTATGTTGATCTAATGCTATTGATGTAGTAGCCTCAATGTTGTAGTTTTAATGTGGTTTTGATTATGTCCCTGGCCCCAGGTCTGCTTCTCCTCGCGCATCCCCGTCGCCTTCCCCGCTGGCGACGCTCACTCCATGGGCAAGCACATGTACCTGTACGCATGTTCGAGCGGCGCCCGGCACGCCGGAGACCCCACCGCCGGCACCAGCCCTCACCACCCGCGCTACTACTCCTCCTCCTCCTCGTTCTCCTCCGTGCCTCGCAGCTCCTCCGGCCACCTCATCTCCTCCAGCCTCGGCCGCAACCTCGGCAGCTGCGGCAGCATCGGCAGCATCGGCGGCGGCATGGGCGGCCCCTTCGGCGCGCTGCTGGTGCCGCCCTCGGTGAAGCTGGTGACGAAGCACGCCGACGGCTCGCTCAACCAGTGGGCCGTCTGCTTCGGCGAGGACGCCGCCTTCCGCACCGTGCTGGGCATCTCGCACCAGTCGCGCTACTGCGGCCACCGCTTCCGCCTCACGGGGCAGGCATGCCACGCCGTGCTGCCGCTGCTGCTCACCACGGCGCACCACGCCCCGCGCGATGACGCGCCGCCCGACGGCCGCTCTTCCCCGCGACCGTCGCCTGTGGACGACGTCGCTCTGAAGCGGCCGGGTAGTCGCTTCGTGCGAAGGGAGGCGGGCGGGTCGTCGGGCGGGTCGTCGGGCGGGTCGCCGGGCGACGCGTTCGCCGGCCCGGCGATGATGCGGAGGAGCCGGCGCGGCGAAGGCGGCGGCGGCGGCGCCTGCGGACCGCCCGGCCGGCAGCTGCGGCGGTTGATGAGCGACTGCGACGTGCTGGCGGTGCGCAGCGAGCTCATCCTGTGGCGCGTGGACCCCGTGGGGCCGCTGTCCCACACGGGTGGCGTGCTGGAGCTGGCGCGCATCAACTGTGCCAGCGAGGACGCTTTTTCGCACATGGCCTGGCTGCCCACCACCGTGCCGGGGTACTGCCTCGGTAAGTGCGGCGCCGGCAAGGGGAGTGTAGGCCGCGGTGTGTGTGTTCATTATTCGTCGGTGTTGGCATCCGCAGGACTTTACACCTTTAGCAATTCCCGTTGGAGCCACGGTGTGGGGCTGCCCATGCCACCTACCTCCTCCTCGCCACCTATCCGCAGTGCCTCTCTTCGGTGCATGTCATGAGTGTGAATTATTCTCCCTTCGTGAGAGACGGGAGAGAAGGTGCCGGCTCTCGTGTTGCCCATGAACCCACTCGTGTGCTGTGGCCGGGCATTCATAGGTGCTCGCAAACAGAACAGTCTGTTAAGGCTATACGATAATTAAGTTAGGAAATTTAAATAAAAGGGGGCGGTGGGGGAAATAGCACTTGGAGTGTACATAGCTGAACGTCGGTGTGTGTGTGTGTTGCTTGCATGTTGTTTGTGTTAATCTGGTGGTGTTGGATTTAATCCAGCTTGGTGTTTATGTTGATGTGACAGTGTTGATATAATGGTATTCATGTAGTAGCCTCAATGTCGTAGTTTTAATGTGGTTGTGGTAATGTGGTAGTGTTAATGTGCTAGTGTTAATGTGCTTGTGTTAATATATTAATGCGGGTGTAGCGGTTAGCACCCTTCGCTGCGAACCTAGCGACCCTAGTTTGATTCCTCGTCTCCGCCAACACCAGCGATATTTATCTGAACCGGTAATGGGTCTCCCCTTGGTCGATTCGGGCCTCAAATAAGCACTTGGTGTGATATTTAAACATCACCACTGGGGAGACAAAGGCGGCCGGGCGTGGTATAAAGTCGTGCCGGCCTTCATAGGTGCTCACTAACAGCACTTGCCCCAACAGTCTGTTAAGGTTACACGGGGGATCTTTGTGTGCGTGCGTGTTGTTTGCGTGCTTTGCGTTCGCACAGGGACGTACTGCAACTCACCAAGCTCATGCTTCGTGGCGTCAGACGGCTGGAATCTGCGCCTGTACCAGGCCGTGATCGACGCCCGCAAGCTGCTCGACGAGCTCTCCAAGCCGCAGCTGTCGGTGAGCGTGCCCACGTCTCGTTCTGCCGTTGTTTTTATTTGGTTTTGGTCCATTCTCCGGTTTTACTTCAATCGTGCTAATTGGCGTCGGATCATTCGGAGCTCCCCGCACGGCAGTGCCGCAGCCCCGCGTTGACATACTGCTCACAGAACTAGATGTCGTAGAACTACTTCTGATATTCCTTCAAGTGACACCTTATCGATAGGGTTACAGCCACCTTCTCATGTGACCCGCGATACAGAAGTTTGCGGGTTGGACTGATATTTTTTATTCTCAAGAGCTTTTAATTCATCAACCATATTAATTTTTACATGCGCGTCATTGTCGGCGATGGGACTGGCACCATCGACTCACTACACTTGAGAACCTGGTTTAAAAACGGGAGGCTGACACCCAGATTTGAAGCCAGAATCTCAGCCGTGCTGGTTCATTGCTCTGGTTCCTGAGCCACCCAGACACCTCTGCATTAATTATTCATGAAGATAGATGCAGCCCAATTAACAAATTGACCCTTAATGTGTAAACACGCACCTGGGCTCTGCGTCCCAAGGCTGCTCTCTGGACACCCTGGTTTCCTTCAACGCGAAGCCAAACGCTCATTGATCACAACCAGTTATAGACGGCCTGGTGATCAACACGCAGACCCGACCCGGAAAACCACACTTACATTATATTGTTTGTTATTATTATACCTTTGAGTGCCACTCACTGGCTCGCTGTGCTGCTGCTGTGCTTGCGCTGCATGTTTGCCGCAACTGCCACCGTCGCGTGCAGCGTCTGGTGGGCGACGTGTTCAGCATTGTGAGCCAGCAGTCGACAGCTCGGCCCGGCTGCATCATCGAGCTGGACGTCATCACCGAACAGGTGCCGCCCCCCCCCCCCCTCGCCTGCCCCTCTTTCCCTCCTCGCCACCCATCACTTCATGTTGCGTATGGCGGAGCGAATAGCAACACTTGAAGGGCTTTATCCATCTACGACCCATATCGTAAGCTGCCTGTCAATACAGGCAGCGGAAGCGACATCACCGGCATCATTTGTGTAAAGCTAAAGTTGTGTTATTGTGATTGTGACCGAGCCGAAGTGCTTGGATTAACCGTCGCTTCCCTGTGTCATGCGCCGTCTGCAGTGCCCATCCAGCACGCAGTTCCTGCACGTCTTCTCGGAGGAGCTCATCCTCGGTCGGCGCTCCAAGGACACGGAGGAGGGAGACGGATCCAACCTGGCGAGCGGTGCCGGTGAGCCGCCAAAAAACGCCGCCTCGCCGCCAAACAAAAACAACAATTGGGCAAACGCCCCCATCGTCGCGACGGCGCCTCCTACTCCTTCCCCTCCTCCTCACCCGCGTCATAATCAACGCGTGCGTTCATGCCATGCCGTATGCAGGTCCCGGCCGAGCGCCGCAGTTTTCTGAGAAGTTCTTCCTGGTGTCCATCGAGAGAGCCGAGGGAGGGCAGTCGCTGCTCAAGATGTGGAGCCTCCACCTGACCTCCGTGCAGGCACTCGCTGGTACGCCCCTCCACAGGTCGCACAATCCATCATGCAAGTCTGTGCAGATACTCGCCGCACAAATGGAAAATTAAAAACTCTCCTCCACTCAATAAATTATTATTTTGTTGTTTCCCTTCAACGTGACTTTACCGAAAAAACTAAGAATATGAATTACTGCAGTCACGAAAGCTTTAAATCAAAATCTCCTCCACTCGTCGGGAAGAACTGGGTATACCCACACTTCTCCCCACCAGTCTGCCCACCACACCACACTCACTCATGCCTCCTCCCCCCCCTTCTTCCACCGCACTGTCGCACTCAGCCGAGACGCCGGCATGGCAGAACTCGCCCGGCACGCCACAGTCATCGGGCACCGGCACTGGCAGCGGAGCTTCTTCCTCCTCGTCGACCTCGTCGTCTGCTGAATCCCGGCCGCCCTTTGGCGGTGGCGGCGGCGGCGGCAGTGGCGGCAGCACCACGCTGCCCCGCACGGCCTCCAGCGCCAACTTGCAGACAGCGAGCCGGCTCACCCTCGCCTCGCGCCTCCTACACTCGCAGCCGCTCCCGCTGCAGCACGGCGTTGAGATCATTCACGCCACGCCCGCCGCAGGTAACGCGCCGTGTTCGCAGGCGTGGTGTTTGTGGCGCCGGGTTCCGGTGTGGGGGCGGCGGTCACGCCCGTACTCGCTCCCCACAGAAAGGATTATATTTTGGGCCCTATTCCACATTTTTATTAAATGGCTGAAACCCTTCACCCCCACCACCCCCCCCCCCCTTGTTGGTGATGTCCATGAGAGCCGGTGATGATTTGGGGAGGCCTTCATCCAGCAGCGGATTGATTATGGCTGATGATAATGATAATGGTGACGAGGACGTTGGTAAAAGTCTTGACAGAAAGGAAAAAGTGCCAACTGGCACGAATCGAGCGTAGTCTCGTTGCGCCTGTAGTTCTCAGCGGCTGCGTTCGTCTCGTAAACAGCGATTTGTTGTTGGGCCACCTCTGCAGGCCACCTGAGCTCCTCGTCCATCTACCCCGTGTGCCTCGCTCCCTACCTCATCGCGACCTCCTGCTCCGACGGCACCGTCCGCTTTTGGCGCTGCTCCGTCGCCGATGCCAAAGCCTCGCAGCAGCAGCAGCAGCAGCCGGGCAGCAATGGTCCGCAGGTTCGGTGCCACCTTGCGCCCGCGTTTAAAATATGGCGCGTCCCAATTGCGCCGGATTCACCGTGAGAAATGTACGAGCACATTTTTTTTGGATAAAATGAATGAGTGAGTGTACGATTGAGATGAGTGAATGCATGGGTTTAGGAGTGAATGAGCGGGTGCACGATTAAGGCGAGTGAATGAGTGGTAGAGCAGGCAAATAATGTAACTAAGTGAGAACTCGCGCAAAGCCAGGATAGAGTCTCACAAGAATGTCCTGGGGCATTGGCCGGCCAGTAGGGGGCGATGATTATGTACAATCCCGATTAAGTGATTTGAGTGGATGTGCGAGTGAGCGTATGTATGTACGTACGTACGTACGTTGAACGTCTTTAGCACCGTAAGTAGCCAACCGGCGCGAATCGGAGATGAGGATGGTGAAATGAGCTGGTGTGCGTGTGCGCCGCCCTGCAGGACGCCAGCTACTCGTGGGAGGAGTGGCCCCTGCAGTGCGACGAGGCGGCTCCCAGCGCCATCAGCGTGCCGGGCCGGCCCGTCGCCGTCAGCTGCTCCTACCCGGGCTGCGTGGCCGTTGCCTACCGGTGAGCGTCGCTCCGTGACGCGCCGTGACGCGCCGTGCGCTCCCGCATCGCGCTCACAACGCGCTCGCAACGTCGGCGTCCACAAATTGAAATACGCTCATAAATCCAGCGTCACACTTGCAAATCACTCCGATTAGCACTACGTACGGCGCGAAAGAAGTTCAACATATACGCATAGGTACATTCGCAACACACTCACCCACTCATCATCACACTCACAACACACTCACGAACCCACCCTCACCATCCCTCGCCCTCCCTCCATTCCCCCTCCCTCGCCGCGCCAGCCGTGAGGAGCACAACGCGAGCAGCGCGCGCGACTCGAGCCTCTACGTGTCGGTGTTCGAGTGCGAGTCGAGCGGCGGGTCGTCGTGGCTGCTCGAGGAGACGCTGCCGCTGGGCGGCGTTGGGCGCCGCCTGCACCCGCACCACGCCGTGGACAGCAACCTCATGGTGTACAGCCACCCGCCGGGCGGCGACGGCGCCGCCTCCTCCGTCCACCACCGGCACCCGCACGGCCCCACCGAGCGCGCCCTCCTGCGTCACCACCACGACCACGCCAAGCACCTGCTGCACATCGACTGGGTGTCCAAGGAGGACGGCTCCCACATGCTCACGGTGGCCGTCGGGGCCCGCGTCGTCATCTACGGCCGCCTCTCCTGGACGGCGGGGGAGCCGGCGTCGAGGGGCGGGGCGCCGGCGGCGTCGTCGCACGGCGCCCTGCCCGCGTCGTACCGCCCGGCCAAGACGCGCTGGGTGCCGCTGCGCTGCGTGGGGCTCGTGTCGGCGTTCGACGGCTCGCCGGCGCTGCCCGTCGAGCTGTCGTGGTGTGCGCGACGGCGTGCTGGTGGCCGGCATGGACTGCGAGATGCACGTATACTCGCAGTGGCAGGACCCGACCGCCGCCGCCTCCGTCGCGGACGAGCAGGCGCTGCTGCTGCTGACGCGCGAGTTCGACAAGATCTCGTCGTCGCGCGCTCCCCGGCACAGCGCGAGCGCCGGCAACGTCCGGCAGGCGGCGCAATTTGGCGGGGCCAAGAAGCAACCGCTGCCGCAGGGGCCGTCGCGGAAGAGCCTGTCCAAGTGTCCGACGGCGCTGCGTCCGCTGCTGCACGAGCAGAACCCGGCGCTGGTGCTGCCCGAGGCGGTGCGGGGGTGCGGGCTGTTTGAGGCGGCCGAGGTGCTGTCTCCCACGCTGGCGCAGTACCACCCCCTGCAGCTCTCCGGGCTGCTTGACCTGGGCAGAGTGCGTCAGGTGAGTGTGCGTGGTTGGTTTGTGCTGCGCTTCAAACCTGGCCACCCGAGTTCAATTCCCACTCACGATCAACACCAGTGACGATTGTCGGAATGGGACCTGGGCCTCCCCTAGGTCGACTCGGCCTCACATGAGTACCTGGTGCCGTGTGTAAGCATCGCCGCTGGGGAGACAAATGCAGCCAGGGGTGGCGCTGGCCACTCGCCCCCTCGTGTGCCGTGCCAGCCTTCATTGGCACTGCATGCTAAAAGCACTTGCCCCAACAGCCTTTTAAGGCCATTTGGGGCATCGTTGTCGTTGAGGTGTGTGTGTGTCTTTGTGTGTGTGTGCGGTGACTAAAATTTCAAACCAGTCCCAGGCCTCCCCTAGGACAAACCTGGTACCTGGTGCGATGTGTAAACATCGCCACTCGTGAAGCAAAGCAGCCAGGTGTGGCGATGACCACCCACCCACTCGTATACCGTGGCGGCCTTCGTAGGTGCTCACTAAAAGCACTTTCCCTGAAAAAGTTTGTGAAGGCTATACGGGGAATCTGTCCTTTTTTGTGTGCTGCTGTTGCTGCTGCAGGTGAGGGCGGTGCTTGCTCACCTGGTGCGCTGCGTTGCCGGGGACCTGGCCTACGTGGCGGAGGCGGGCGTGGAGCTGAGCACTCGGGAACGCAAGCACTCGCGCGCCGGCAGGTGTGTATGTACGTGTGTGTGTCGTGTGTGTGTGTGCTTAAGTGTTTGCGCAGGTGGAGCTGTAGTGCAGTGGTTACCACACTACGCTACGAACTACCCGGTGACCCGAGTTCGATTAATAACCGTGGCAAATATTTGAACCAGTCCTGGGCCTCCTTTAGGTTGACTCACCCTAAAAAGAGTACCTGGTCTGGTGTGTAAACATCAGCACTGGGGAGACAAAGGCGACTACACAGGGGATCATTGTCTTTGTGTGCACGTACGTAAACATGTGAACGTTGTGATGTGCCGTGCGGCACCTTATGAGCTGAAATTATTCTTATGATAATTATAAGTATCGACTCGTACATGCATTCAGTTACGTGCGTAAAAATCGATTCTTCGCAAGGTGAGTTTGCCAGTAGATGGCAACGCACCGGATGGGTTCGTGAATCCATCCGTTCAGAATGTTGAGCGTTCACCCTCGACCCCCGCGTCGCCAATTCTCGCATGTCCGTCTGTCGGCCTTGCTCGTGGTGCCCAGCACGAGTAGCGGCATGCTCGCTGGGCGGGAGGAGGCGGGAGACTACCCGCAGATCGACGCCGTGCCGCCACTGCCCCTCTTCAGCCTCCTGGCGGCCGACGGCGCCGGCTCTATGGGACCAACGCAGCACAACCCCGGGCAGGTGGGTGGTAACCCTGCGTGACGTTCCCCGCCGTGCTCCGCTCTCACTCTCTCCCCGAGCTGGAGCAGTCTCCCCTGTGCGTGCTCTCCCACCTACCTCGTACCACATTGCCTGCTTTTCCTCGCCTCTCCTATTTATTCTCGTCGTCGTCAGCAGCCATTGGTCCATCCACTGTTCGGCTTCCCCAAGCCTTCGCCGTCTCTCGCGAGGTTGACGCTTCACCTTGCAACCTTCACCCGAGCTGATTTCGTCCTTCCATCTCTGCAGCGGATGTACCGTTGGGCGTCAACCCCTGCGGCTGCCGCACCGTTGTTTTTGTCGTCATTTCTCATTCCAGTTGTTTTTGCTCTTGATTTCTTTCTCTTCGCTCGGTCGCTGCGCTTGATCTTATTTATTTTGCGTTTTGTTGTTTTGTTGACCGCGAGAGTTTTAACGATCATCCTCGTTCCTGACCACCGACCCCCACCCCTAGGTGCCGGAGAAGGACGGGAGGCGCGTGGGCGGCTCGGCCGACACCGACCAGTACGGCGACCTCTTCGAGGTTCCGTCGCTCGCCACCGTGGACGACCTGGACGCGACGGTGGACGGGGAGACGGAGGGCGACGAGCTGGCGGGCGCCAACCGCGTAGTGGACCTGTCGCGCTTCGGCGCCACCTACTTTGGGCCCGAGCAGGCGCAGGTGCTGGCGGGACACCTGGTGCAGGCCAGCCTGCCGGGCCTGTCGCGCCTCGAGCAGATGCACCTGATGGCGCTCGCGGACACAGTGGCTACCACCGCCAGCCAGGGCAGCATGGGTGAGCGGCGTCGGCGCTTGCTGTGTGTGTCTGTGGGGAGCGGTCGTGTAGTGGTTGGCGTGCAAACCAGTACACACCCGAGTTCGATTCCCACTCACCGTGCTAATTGACGACCACGGCGAGCATCACTTTACGTGCCCTGAATTGCATCGCTCGCTGAAATGCCGATCGTGCGGCGTCTTCTCTGTGGGCCGCGCAGAGAGCGTGGACGCGTGCGGCCTGCGCTTCCTGCTTGCCGTGAGGCTGCACTCCTTCCTGCTCTCCTCCCTGCCGCCCCTGCACCGAGCTCAGCTTCAGCACCAGGGTGAGAACACCGACCCCACCAAACCAAACCCCAACGACACCAACCCGAATTCCACAAACACAATCCCCACCAACACAATCCCCAGCAATGTAGACTTTATCAACACAAATCCCACCAACACAATAGACCTTGACATTGACATTTAGCTCCTGAACCACACTGTCGTCGCACGCATGAATGAAATAGAATTGGTACCAACCAGAACTCCAGCAGCACAATTCCCCCCCCCCCTCCTCCCACCTCCTCCCACCGCCTCCCACTTCCTGCTAATGCACCCGCAATGCTCTACAAGGACGAGCTGTTAACCGACAGCGCCGTCGCCCTCTGCCGTCGCCATCCTCCCGCAGGCCTGTCGACGTGCCACTTTGCGTGGGCGTTCCACTCCACGTCGCAGGAGGACCTGCTGGGCATGCTGCCCGCGATGCAGAGGGCAGACGGCCCCACGTGGGCAGAGCTGCGCGCCATGGGCGTGGGCTGGTGGCTCAGGGGACGCGCCGCCCTGCGCCTCTGCATGGAGAAGGTTTGGCACCCGCGTGTGTGTGAGGGTGTGTGTCAGGGGAGCGGTGGCGCAGTGGTTAGCGCGATGCGCTACTAACCCGGCAACCAGAGTTCGATTCCCGCTCACGGTCAATACCAGTGATTACCCGATCCTCCTCTAGGTCGACACAGCCTCAAATGAGTACCTGGTGCAGTGTACAAACATTGCCACTAGGGAGACAAAGGCAGCCAGATGTGGTGCTGGCCACCCACCCCCTCGTGTGCCGTTACAGCCTTCATAGGTGCTCACTAACAGCACTTGCCCCAAAAGTCTGTTAAGGCTATATGGGGGATCTTTGTGTTCGCACGTGTGCACGAGCACATGTGTGTGTGGGTTGACCCATATACATGGATGGCCTAAATTGTCCATCCACTGCTGGAAGAGGCCATGTGATTCGTGGGCATTATTTTACCGTAGTCAGTGCGGGTTGGTGAAGGAGAGGAGCGTAAACTTGGGAGTGTAGACTTTTGTTGCTACAATTGAGTTGTCTGCAGTTACCCTCTACTGCCCATAACTCGAAGGAAGGTTTCAAGTACAGTGGTTTGCCAAAAATGCTCAAATTGTATAATTTTTTCTCAAGTTGAATATCCCACCGCTACAGATTTGACTCTGATGATGATTATACATGGAGATGGGCAATAATGTCTCTCTAAACTTAACGTGTCCTGGGACGGTGGGGGGAGCACACGTCATGACACATGCTGGTTGTGCTTGGCGTGGGACTCCCCCGGGTTGACTGAGCGTTAATTCCTGCCTCACTTGCTACGCTGCACTCTGTCGCCACTGGGATGATCAGGGCAAGCAGGCCGTGCGTTTTGTTCCCTCTCCCACAACCTCCTACAAACCCCAAAGTTATTTTCTGGGTTGGTGGGCCTCTCCTGTGTTGGCTCAGTGGCGAACGATAGCGCGACGATCGATAACGTGGTTTATCCTCCCTTGGGCAGCTGGCGAAGGTGGCGTTTCAACGCAACAACGATCCCCTGGATGCCGCCCTCTACTACCTGGCGATGGGCAAAAAGGGGGTCCTGTGGGGTCTGTTCAGGTGAGGGACCCCACCCGCGCATTCGCACGTCTCCCCCTCTGACCGTCCGCCCGTCCTCCGGTGACCACCAGCACTGACCGACGGTCCGCCGTTGTCTCTTGGTGCTTGCGTGGGGCCGCGTGTGCTCCGGCTCGGCGTGTCGCAGGTCGAAGGGCGACTCGAAAATGACCCAGTTCTTCAGCAACAACTTCGGGGAGGAGCGGTGGCGCCGCGCCGCGCTCAAGAACGCCTTCGCGCTGCTCGGCAAGCGGCGCTTCGAGCAGGCGGCCGCCTTCTTCCTCCTGGCCGGAGCGCTGAGGGACGCCATCGAGGCACGTGGTGCACCGCACACGGCCGCCTCTTCGGCTCCGCCGCAGGGCAGTGGGAACGCGTGGCCAGCGAATGGCGGGGAGGCGCCGAGGTGTCAAGACCTCCCGCCTCTAGGGAGATCTTGACACCTCGATAGTTAATGTTCGCTTCACCCACCGACTGTAGGGATGTCTGACAGTGTTTAACAGCAGAAGTTTAAAGATCACACTGTGTCATCCTTTTTGGCAAGCAGCAAGCTGTTGTGTGATGGTGTCTTAACTCAAATCCAAAGTAAAATTTTACCGCAAAACATGGTTACAAATCCACGATACCTTGAAAAATGTAGTTATAGATATAATCCGCTTGTGCCGCGGCATCTATATCTATATATGGGTGCCACGGTGGCGAGATGTTAGCTACCTCGCCTGGTATACAGGAGGCCATGGGTTTAATCCCGACCCTGACGCGTGTATATTTGGAGTTTGCATGATCTCCCTATGATCGCGTAGATTTTTCTCCGGGTCCCCCGGTTTTTTGCTCCGCATTTCAAATCACCACTCGTTTAGAGTATATGGCTGCTATACATGTCCGCATCATAAGCCACTTCACTGATCTATCATTTGTGTCCAGGTCGCTTTAAAAAAAGAGTTATAGTGCTGAGTGGGCCTCAAATGGTACGATAAAAATAGTTTGGTTTGCCAACGTATGGTGAATAATAAATGCTGGGTGGCTTCAGAGCAGAGGCTCCCAACATTTCAGGGCCTGCAGACCACTTCTCAACCCTCGGCCAGGTGTTGTGGAACGCCCTTCCTGTGGGTGTCAAGCAGGAGCCGTACCCTGGCTTGCCAGCAGATGGCGGTACAGCAAGTGGACTAATATCATCTGTCCCTTCTGCGTGGGATAGAGTGTTTCCCCCTCACATGCGTGGGTTTTCTCCGCCTGCTCGAATGTCCTCCCACGTATGAATACTGATTAATTGGCAGGAAACATCTTAACATGTAGAGGAGCTCAAAGCTTGGGCAATTGTTGGTTGCGGAAGCTCACAGCCTGGCTGCTGCCTTCCCGCCTGCCTGTGATTTTTCGCACCTCCGAGTCATTCTCTCCCTTGTTGAGAGTGAGCGAACACCGTGCACAAGTCGAAATGATTCATTATTATTAGTACACTTTCATGGACCACCGTGCAGTTTAAATATCTGGTGTATTGTCAAATAAATTACACGTGCAATGAGTTCCGCAGGCCACTTCCCACGGCCTTACAGAGCACAGGCCCGGGAATCACTGCCATAGCAAATCGGAACCCTCAGCTCGGCGTGGACTGGCACAGTGGTGAACACACTCGCCATTTCTTCACCTGCCTAAGTCGGCCCCCGTAACCCTCTCCCTAAATCCCACGCAGGTGTGCCTGGAGAAGCTGAACGACATCCAGCTGGCGTTGGTAGTCGCACGACTGCAGGAGTCCAACACGGACGCACCAGCCACCTACCGGTCCATCCTGGGGTGCCGCGTTTTGGGCCGAAACGAGCTGTCGGGGGCCGATGCCGCCGCTACGCCGGAGCTCGCTGAGCTGACGAGGGCCTGCGAGCTGCGCAAGGACCGCGATCCCTTTCTACGCAGCATTGCATGCTGGGTAAAAAGTGACTACCCCGGAGCCCTGGACGCACTGCTGGAGCAGCCGGATTCTGCTTGCGACGCCGGTAAATGAGCCGACTTAGATAGCGGTGCAAAGTTTCGTCAGCTCTCCGCTCTTAATGAATCTCAAGACTTGTCTTGGAGAGTACCCCACTTGACGAGAGTTTTGTCGGTTTCCTGTTTGGAGGATGTTTGTTGTGTGGGAGGAGCAGCGATGTTATCTCTGAAAATAATATTTTGGGAGACCAATTAAATATTTTGTTTATATTTTCATTTAAAAATAATTTCCCCCAAAGTCACCATTATTTCCTGTACATGGTATGTGCGCTCACGCGATTCAGATGATTGGCATTGGTTCAATGACTGAACCAATGTCAAATTAAACTCCATGGTTCAATTTCTCTGCACAGACGAAGACGGCGGCAGTGGCGGCAGTGACGGCAGTGGCGGCAGTGGCGGTAGCGGCGGCGGCAGCGCCTCGCCGGGCCTGTGCAGCCCGGGCGTCTTCAACTTCTACAACTTCCTTCGCGGCCACCCACTCATCGTGCGCCACCACATGCTCTCCCACGGCGGTGCCGGCCAGCGGCCCGCCGATACCATCAGCCTTCGCGAGCGCCGGCTGTTCTTCGCGACGGCGAGCACCCACCTCAAGTCGGGCTGCCCGCTGCTGGCGCTTGACGTGCTCCGGCGGATGCCACATGCCGAGAAGGAGGTGGTGACCGTCACCAGCGCCAGGGGCGGCGGGAGATTGCCGTTGGAAAATGGACATGTGGTGAGCACGCCCCAACGCTGCCCCTTGCACTCGGGGGTTAGGGTTGGAGCTTCATGGCTAGACAGGTCGCTATGTATGTATGTTTTGAGATTAAAGGCTAGATAGTTCAAGAGTTGGACTGATAGATGGAGGAGGGTCCATAGGTTGGTAGAAATGGGGTAGGACTGTTCGCCTCTACTACCGCTCTGCTGACCAGCATGGTGAAGTTTGGTCAGACAAGCCGCACGACTGACACTGCGTGGGATGGCATTTCTTCATTTTGATGAAACAGTATTATTATACCATAGACCTATATTTAGTATGAGAGTTGTGTAATTCGAGATATACTCTTTGGTTCTATTCGGTAAAGTCACGTAGGTAAAAAATAAAACAACAAAAATCACGATGTTTCGAGATATCGCTCCAGTCATTGCTTATCCGCTCCTCCATCCCAACTTACTTCCTGCGACTGGTTGCCTACTGTGTTGTCTAACCGGTGAGAGTCAGGTGATTGGTGACTGGTGAGTGGCTAGTGTCACTAGTGGGTAGCCCACTAGTGATGACTCACCTCATTGCCACGTCGTTCTTGGTGATGGCATTTGCACGTCTGCTGTGCAGCAGCTGCGGGATCTGGCAGAGGGCACAAAACGTTGGCGACGTGTGGTGGCCTTAAGCGGCTTTGGCCACGATCGTATCTTGACCTTGATTGCTCGTAAACAATCAATGAGATGCCTCAATGCCGTAGGCCCCTTAAGTTTGACCCGCAACCCCTTACCCCCCCCCCAGCACGGTGGCAGCAGCGCGTGGGGCACGGCGGGCCCCCACCCATCGAGTGGGCACCACACGGCGGAGAGCGCCGATTGGGCAAGCTCGGCCATGACGGTGGCGGACGAGCCCCTGGAGCTGAGCTGGGACAGCGAGGAGGACGAGGAGGAGGAGGACGAGGAAGACGACGACGACGAAGATCAGGGGATCACCATGAAGAAGACGAGAGCGTTCAAGAAGGGCACCGCCGACGTCGCGGAGAGCGACGTGGAGAAGAGGTGACGTCAGCGTTTTGTTAAGGACGCTCCCAGTGGGATCGCTCGCTCGTTCGTTCGTTGCCGTTGGGAGAGAGTTCTCCGCTTGGCTGTCAGGTTTCGTGCCCTAACCTCCAACCCAACGGGCTAGGGTTGTTCCGGCACTCTTTCATAAAATTGCTCATCACGGATATGAGCAGATCACTCGTGGTTGGGTGCAAAGATTGGAGTCCAAAACCATTTCATTGAAGGCCCACCCCCAGGTTTTTTAGCTGACCCAGGTTTAAATGCTGCAGTCACCCTCACTCCTGCAGGAGTGTGTTGTGCAACGCTTGAGTTACAGACTTCCTCCATCTTTGATCGTAATTATACTGAGCACTAACCAAACACGTCGTAGGCTTTAGCAGCCAAAATCATGGCTCAGAAGCTATATTTGGCAGAGACTGCATTACATGGCCTCACCCAAAAATCAATACGTGGCATTTACCTCTTATTTTGGGCTACAACACTGACACAATAACCATACATGATTGGCAAACCCGCCACTGAGCGACCGCTCTCTCTCTCCCATCTTCCACAGGCCAGAGTCTCTGCCGCCTGCGCCGCTGGGCACGGACGGATACGTGGACGTGATGGCGGAGCAGATGAAGTTCCGCGCGTGCCTCAAGCTGCTCGTGGACGAGCTGCGCACGCTGGCGACAGGATATGAGGTGCGGCCAGCCCCCGGGACCACGTCGGGTACCGTCCACGGTCTCCTGCCTGACTCGTTCGCTCACCCAAACATGCAACTCGCCCGAGCACGCAACTCGTCCAAACACGCGACTTAGCCGAGCTCAGAACTCACCTGTACACACCGACTTGCCTGTGCCCCCAGGTGGACAGAGGCAAGCTGCACGTGCAGCTGTGCCACTGGCTGGAGCGCGAGGTCGCCACGCTGCAGGAGGTGTGCGGTTATCCCGGCGACCTGCACAGCACCGCCACCGGCTCGCTGGATACGGTTGCCGAGGACACCGAATCAAAGTTGTCCGGCGCCACGGACGCTTGTCCCTTTATTGGTGGTGGTGGGAGCGGCGGGGTGACGCCGGACGACACGGAGGCTTGGCGCGAGCAGCACAGCCTACATGCCAGGCAGCTGCACGCGGCGCGCCGGCGCCGCTGGCTGTGCGCCAACCTGCCGCTGCTGCACATGTTCCTGGGTTACTGCAGCCTGCACGGCGCGCAGGGCGGCGGCCTGGCCTCCGTGCGCGTCGAGCTGCTCTTCCTCATACAGGAGTCGCAGCAGGTGACGTGCGTGGCCAGTGCGCGTGTGTGTGTATGTACACGTGTGCGTGGAGAGGTGGCGCCGTGGTTAGCGTTTGCGCTGTGCTACGAACCCGGCCACCTGAGTTCGATTCTCGCTCGCGACCAATAAAAGTGGTGAATATTTAAACCGGTTCTGGGCTGCCTCCTAGGTCGACTAGGGAGGCCTTCATCCAGCAGTGCAGTGACCAGGGCAACCACGTGTTGTCTTTACGTTGCAACCAGGAGGCGGTGCTGAAGCAGCTGCACTCGCGGCTGCCGCTACCGACCATGCTGCCACTCATCTCGGCGTCGCTCGCCACTCTCAAGACTGTCATTTCCAACCCGGTGCTGCACGTCGCCAATCTCGCGCACGACATCCTGCGCACCGTCAGCGACATGCCGACACCCCCCGAGCCACCCAAGGACAACCCGCAGGCAAGTTGGGGTGTGGGTGGTGGGGGTGGTGGGGGGGGTGGGACAGTGGTGGTGGTGGTGGTGATGGCGACGGTGCGTGGCCATAGCCCTATACCACGGTTCCCATGACTGCTGGGAAGCGAGCCAACCCCGGCGAGCGGTACTGCGAGCCCACATTAGTCGACGTGCTGGGCCAAACGAGCATCGACCGGCCCATGTGGCTTGAATGTAGTGGGGCCACCTTGCTCCTGATCATGAGAGAGCTGCGCACTTCTTAGCCTGGCCACCCACGGAACCGGTTGTGACGTCGCGGGGCAAACGCGCGGGGGAGCGATGCCCCGGCGGCCACCGGCGTCTCTCGCTGAAGACATCTTCAGGGCGGAGTGTTTGTTTAAACAAACAATTCGCTCACGGCACTACGATTCCCGCAGCCTGGAGTCTATATTTCTTCGCTGTTGGTCAGTGACGAGGCTACCAGATCCTGTCCCGGACCTCTCCTAGATAGACTCGGCATTAAATGTGTTTGTTTAAACAAACAATTCGCTCACGGCACTACGATTCCCGCAGCCTGGATTCTAGATTTCTTCGCTGTTGGTCAGTGACGAGGCTGCCAGATCCTGTCCCGGACCTCTCCTAGATAGACTCGGCATTAAATTAGGTCTTATTCTTAGCTCTTTCGGTAAAGTCACGTTGAAGGGAAACAATAAAATAATAAAATATATAAAACAATAAAAATTTTCACGACGTTTCGACCATAACACAAACGGTCGTCATCAGGTGTGTCGGTTTGCATAAATTTATGCAAACCGACACACCTGATGACGACACACCTGTTGACGACACACCTGATGACGACCGTTTGTGTTATGGTCGAAACGTCGTGAGAATTTTTATTGTATTATATATTTTATTATTTTATTGTTTCCCTTCAACGTGACTTTACCGAAAGAGCTAAGAATATTAATTACTGCAGTCACGAAAGCTTTAAATCAAAATTTCAATTAGGTCTGTTGTGATGTGTAAATCTATCCCTTCGTCTCATCCCCTGCCCGACAGGTTCACATGATCTACGTACTGGCCGCGTCGCTCTCCGCGTGCGTTTACCAGTCCCTCTGCGACAGCCACAGCTTCAGGTAAGCGCTGCCCTTAATTTAAATCTCAGTGCATCGGTCATCGTTGCAACTCGTGTAGCGGAGCAGTGCATCCTCTCACCGGTGAATAACAATCCCCGCGACCAAAACGTAGCTCGGTTAGATCAACGACTTTTTGATTGAGACGACGTCAGGTGTCGTCAGGACGAGATCCAGGCAGTCAGAAAGCCGACTACGTGTTAAATTGATAGATCAGATCGTTGCAAGGCCCGACCTAAAAAAAAAATCGATCATGAATCATAACATCGGTTGCGAAAACGCAGCGCGTCTCGTCGAAAGAGGTCACACGATGGGCGGACGTCGTCTCTGTGTTTGTGTGTGCGCTTGTGTATGTGCATGTGTGCGTGCCGGTGCGTGCGCGCGTGTGTGTGCGCATGTCCGCATGTGTGTGTGTGTGCGTGTGCGTGCGTGTGTGTGCGTGTGCGTGCGCGGAGATTAGCAGCGAGGCCGCAAGCTGCCCCTTCACGGGGCTCTCTTACAAGAGCTGCCTGCTCCGCGATCGCCTGCGCCAGCGCCATGAGAGCACCAGCAACCTGCAATCCACCTCCCTGCCCTCCCAGTGGCCGGGTACCTCGCGGCGCGGGCACACGCACGCACGCACACACACATGCACACGCACGCCCACACGCACGCACACACACATGCACACGCACGCCCACACGCACGCACGCGCACACGCACGCACACACGCACGCACACACGCACGCACACACGCACGCACACATGCACACACATGCACACACACGCACACACGGGGGGGGGGGAGTGTGGAGGGTGACATGGCAGTGCCACATGGCACAGAGTGCATTTATGCAGGGTGGTCCAACAAGTCAGGGCACATCGGGTTAATTCATTTATTTGAACATTTTAATTGTTTATTCTTTAAGTAAATATTCCTGTGGGGTCACCTCAAATCTATCGTTTACAAACTCGACCAAGAACCCTCAATGAACTGTAAAGTCCTAAATTCGTTTCACACCTTTGGGCCACCCTGTATATTGCATCTAAATTGCGAACGCATTGTAAGACTCCGCACAAACCGGGGAGAAAGGTGCGCGTTTGAGAGTTTGAATGGAATGCTGGGTAGACTGCTGGAATTCACGCAGAGATGGAGTTGAGGTGACGTTTATGCTAGACGTGTGAATTAAGGCACTTGACTGCGAGAGAGGGTCATTGGCAGAAGATAAGGTTTGTAGCCCGGAACGAGGCGTGGTTCTCGGCAGTGCCTACGGCCACAGGAGAGGAATTCCAGACAATGGGAGCAGCAGAGTAGAAGCAAGCTCGCGGCGGCCTTGCTTCTAGCAAAGTTTGAGAGTTTTGACAGAAGGCCTTGGTGGATGGAGTGGGGAATGCATGAAGGGAAGCAGAGCAAAATGAGAGCATTGAGGAATTTTCGTTGAATTGTGTGCAGGGTGGGCGAGGGTTCATTGCAGAGACAGGCGTTGGAGTGGTCTCCGCGGGTCGGGCGACCGAGTGGGAGACCTCAGGGCGGATGGTGGGAGACTGTGAGGCAGCTATCGGAGGTCGTTGTGTGTCCACTGCGCAGCAGCTGCGGGTCCGGGCGGAGGGTAGAATGCGTTTGGCCATTTGTGGTGGCATCAGCGGCTTTGGCCAATATGACAACTTGACCATGACCCAGTGTATGAAGGACCTGGCACTGGATTAGGAGCCATTGGAGGCATCTCCAGATTGGGGGGATGCTTCGGGGTGCCACGGTGGCGAGGTGATGTTATCTCCCTCGCCTTGTACGCAGGAGATCAAGGGTTCAATCCCGAACCCTGACGACGCCTGTTGTATATTTGGAGTTCGCATGATGTCTCTCTCTCCTTGTGTTGGTTGCATTGATTGTTCTCCAGTTCCTCCGGTTTTTCCCTCTACATTAAAAAAAACACGTGCAGATTATTTGGCTGCTACTATAAATTCCCATGCATGATGATCTCAGCCAGCTTGATCACGTGTGGCCAGGTCGCCTCTGAAAAATAGCTCGTAGCTCAGTGGGTTCCACCTAGTTAATAAAATAAGTGATGTCACTTCTCTAACTGCTCCACCCCCTCTCCTGCCCTCCTCATCCTCCCCCACCACTTGCTGTCGGCAGGCGTGACGCAGCTGCTGTCCCAGCTGCACGCGTGCCGCGACGAGGAGCAGCCGCCGCTGCGCATGCTGCTGTGCGAGGCGCTGCTCGCCGTCTTCCTGGGGATGCTGGGGCGCGCCCTCGCCACCAACGCCGCCGGCCGCCTCTACCGCCTGTCGGCGCGCCCGCTGGATGCACGCTCGTGGGCGTCGCTGTTCGGCGGCGCCGCCCGCGTGCCTCAGTGCGCCACGCCCTCCCCGGCGCAGACGCTGCCGCCGCCGCCGCAGCAGCAGCAACAGGCGTCGTCGTCCTCCAAAGGGAATTCAACGGGAGAGGCGGTGAAGACGCAGCAGGGCAGCACGCGCAACCGTGCGCAGCAGCAGTCGGAGACGTCGTCCTCCGGTGGGTGGCGTTTGAGCGAAGGGAGCCGGCAGCGTCGCGGGGTGGATGGGGGGTGAGGGCAGCGAGCCAACAGATTTTTCTAAAATGTGTCGGCTATTCGAGTAAAATCGGTTCGTTCCTACGCTCGTGGCGCAATTCACCGGACCGTGGGTTTGCGAGCGTAGTTGGTTGTTTGCGATCTTTGCCAAGTAATGTAGGCAAGGTGTACGTATGAGAAAGGGTTGGTGGATCGCACAAATTTGCCAAGCGCCCAAACGTGTAGGCCACAACGTGGCTCCCCCAGGAAGGAGGTGGCAGTCAAACAAATGCGGATGTGAGTTCGTCCAATCGGTGTGGCCACCTTTGTCTCGGGTGAGTCCCTAATAGCAACACAACTTCATTCTAAAGTTTCATGCAAATTGGGTCCTCATCTTTACAAGAGTTACTGTGCCCACCTCCCCACCCCCACCGTTACCGATGGCCAGAAGGACAGAGACAACACGTGAACGCGAAAACGATTTTGGAGACTTGATTACATGAGCGGACATTTATCCTCTTTAGACATAGAAGATGGCTTATCAGAAGTCTTAGTAATAATAATTGATTTTACACAAAGGTCATGTGTGAATGTATGTATGCTGAACTTCTTTTGCACCGTACCTAGCCAGCCGGTCGTGATCGATGTGTGACGGGTACTGCTCGTGCAGGTGGCCGGATCCGGGCAGACGAGGCCAGCAAGCACCGGCACCGGCTCAACATGCGCATCCTGGTGACGTCGCCGTCGCCGCCAAGCACGGCCACACCCACGCAGCGCGCGGTCGTAAGCACGGTGTCCGGCAGCAGTGGTGGCGGCGGCGGCGCCGGCGGCAGCGTGGAGCTGGGCGGCTCGTGGGCGCAGTCGCCGCTCACGCCGTGCGCCAACTTCCGTGAGGTGTTTGTGCCACCCGAGCTCAGCATCTGGGACTACTACATGGCCAAGGTGAGGCTGTGGAGGAATTCGTCTGTGTGTTTGCACGAGAGCATGTGTCCGTGGCGAGCGGTGGTGTAGCGGTTATCGAGCCGCGCTACGAACCCGGCGACCCCGAGTTCCATTCCCACTCACGCCCAACACCAGTGACGATTATCTGAAACGGTCCTGGGCCTCCCCTCGGTTGTCACAGCCTCGAATGGGTACCTGGTGCAGTGTGTAAACATCGCCACTGGGGAGACAAACCCAACCAGTTGTGGTGCTGGGCACCAACTCCCTCGTGTGCCATGCCGGCCTTCATAACTGCTCGCGAGCAGCACTTATGATGAACAGAAGGTGCTCGGGCATGTGTCAGGCGGCTCACTGCCTGGCTGCTCTATTCCCGCTCGTCTGTGGTTCTTCCTCTAAGTCGTCCTCTCTGCGAGAGCGGCGGCGACGTTACAAGTTGTAGTTATTATTCCTACTACCATGCTAAAGAGTGTACAATTACAAAGGGGTAGGGTGTTGCCGTGCCTGCGTCACATGACCCGTCTCCCGTCCCTCGCCTCTTGGTGGGCGCCCAGCCATTTGTGGCGTCCGACGACGGCTTGGGCTACGACTCGGACGAGAGCGAGGAGAGCGAGGAGGAGGAAGAGGAGGAGGAGGAGGACGGGGGAGACGAGGAGGCCGACTACGACCCGATCCTCGACAAGGACGACGAGAGGGTGACGCGGCGCCACTCTCGCGAGCGCGAGCACTCGGACCCCAACTCCTACAGGTACCGGCAGCACCGGCAGCATGAGGGCCATTTCCACGAGCGAAGAAACGTGAAACAATAACCCTGGCGCCCTTGCGAGTGCGACGTCAACAACATCACTATCGGTGTGTTGGGGGATACACCATGGAGTACCGGAGTGTGGAGATGTCAACAGCGGTTGGCGTATAGATAGACTTGCCCCCGCTTGCTCCCTCCACCGCCATCTGCGCCATAGGATTGTGGAATTTCCATCATTGATTCACGGGTTGAGTCAAATGGTCTCAATCGTTTACATTTCTCGTTGGGACTTGGCTTTGGCCATAATTTCTCTGGAGTCAATGAAACAAGTACCGTAATAAGGTTATTTTGGTTATATCGCGTAAATATAGATGTGTCGTTAAACCCGCCCACCACCTGACACAGCCAAATAGTAAGGTTTGCCACATAAACACAACATGCAATTCGTTACTGGTTTAGCACACCGGTGTGTTGGAGAATGAACCCACAACATTTACAATTCGAGTACGACGTTTAACCGGTAATTACAACTAGCATCATCAGGCGACAGAATTGTGGAGAAATCCTCCTATTTCGGTCTTAAATAGAGGGATAAATGTGATGTCATCATTTGTGAGCCAATCAGATACAAAGACCAGAGGGAGGTGGTTAAGTACCACTTCATGGACCGACCCTCGTCGTAAACAGGAGATGAGCAGCAATGCTTCAATGTTCTATTGCAAGCCCTGTTGAACATGGTTCACCATGTGGTGAAACTCGCAAAGCATGAAGGGAATTGCGTGTGTTATGGGTTTACATGACCACTGCAGCCACTAGTGGCCGCTACTTTCGACACCAATTTTTTTATGGAATGGCGACGCTGAATCGCGACGAATTTGTGGAATTGCAGAGGTCGGGAATCGTTACCCCCCCTAGCTAGCGCACAGGTTATGAGTCATGCGTCTGGCTTTGTTTGTGTGTGGTGCCGGCCACCCACCCTCTCGTGTGCCGTGCCGGCCGTCATAGGTACTACTCGCTAACAGCACTTGCCCCTACAGTCTGTTAAGGCTACACGAGAGATCTTTGTCTTTTGTTTTGCACCACACATGTCTGTATTTTAACATTTAACATCTCAGGTTGAGTACGTTCGTGCGTTAGTTCTGTCCATCTGGCCTTCCCTAACAGGGGTAAGGTCATGTGTGATAACTCAATCTGAACGAAACTGTCGCGTAAAGTTGTGTTGCTATTCGGGACTCACCCTGGGCAAAACCAGACACACAGATAAAACCATGACCCAAAAACTTGGGACACACAAACCGGAGCAAACCCTCGAACAAAGCCGTCAAGTTTCGTACCGCTGGTTCAAAGCTTCCGAAGACAAACGCATATCGTAATCCGTGCGCGTGCCGAATTTTACGCAAATCGTCTCCCTTGATTTTGCCGCCGCCGTGTGCCACAGCTGGTGCCTCATGAGGCTGGTGGTGGTGCGGCTGGCCATCACAAACATGCGCGGCTTCTTCCCCATGGCCGGACTCGAGATGTCAGGTGAGCGGCTCACTGTCTGTCCGTGGTGGGGGTGTGGTGCGGGTGCTTATAGTGTTGGTGGTCATGCGGTAGTGCAGCGGTTGGCGTGCTGCGCTACGAACCCGCCGACCCGAGTTCGATTCCCTTGACCAATAACGGTGAGGATTAGCTGAACCGGCCCTGTCGCCATTTTTAAAGGTGTTTGAGTAACCGATTGCAAAAAGTATAAATTTTAATCTTTGCCAAATTTTTTTATTTTTATCACTATTGACCAATCTTCCCAGCTCAAGTCGTTATCAACTTCCGGTTGTCAGTAAACCCACCGTCCCCACCATTTCATCGGTGCCGCCCCTCTCCCCCGACCCCTGACCCCCTCCCCTTCCCACGCAACCCCGCAGACCTGCCGTCGTGCTCCCCGCTCTGCCACATGGCGCTGTGCACGCTGAGCCAGTGGGAGCAGGCACTGTGCGCGCGCCTCGAGGCCACGCCGGGCCCTCCCGACGACTACATCCCCACGCTGGGTGCTCACACGGGCGACGGGCCTGCCGGACCGGCCATCCTGCGCTACAAGGCCATGCTGGAGCCAGGCAACACGCCCTTCAGGTGGGCCGTGACGGCTGCGAGTGCCATGAGTTCTCACAGGCGGGAGCATGGGAGAGATTATTCTGCATGTTGTGGTGATGGTAGTGTGTATGTGTGTGTGTGTAGTTTGGGTGGGGAGCGGCAGTGCAGTGGTTAGCGTGCTGCGCTATGAACCCGCTGACCCGAGTTGGATTCCCTCGACCAATAACTCTGACGATTATCTGAATCGGTCCTGGGGCTTCCCTAGGTTGACTCGGCCTCAAATGTGTACGTTGTGCATTGTGTGAACGTCAGCACTGGGGAGACAAAGGCGGCCAGGTGTTGTGCTGGCAACTCCACCCACGCATGTGTCGTGCCAGCCTTCATAGGTGCTCGCTAACAGCACTTGCCCCAACAGTCTGTGAAGGCTATAAGAGGCGGGTGTCTTTGTCTTTGTGTGCCCGCAGTTCGCATCGCCGATCGGCACTGGCAGCCAAACGCTTGTGGCAATTCCTGGTGCGGCACGAGTCAATGCAGGAGACCTTCATCAGGCACATCTTCACTCGCGCGCACCACCGCCACCAGCAGCAGCAGCAGGTTTGTACAACCATTGCACCGCTTCCCCACAACCACCTACACCAACAACGGCACCAGCATCACCACTTGCAGCAGCAGGTGTGTTCACTCCCGCTGTACTGCATCCCCACTAACCCGTACAATAATACTTCCACCACCGACACCACCACTGCTACCAGCAGCAGCTGTGTACAACCACGGCACTACCTCCCCACTACCCCCCATAGCAACAATTCCACCAGCAACAGCACGGACACCAACAGCACCAACACAAACACTTAACGTCAACACCACCACTGATGCCCATCAACACCAACAAAAACTCCACCACTAACAACACCATCAGCACAGCAGTAGCAGTAGCCGGAGGTCTGAATCAACAGCAGGTCACTACCAGCAGCAGGTCATACCCAACACCACCTGTACCGTGGGTTCCAGGCCAAGGGTTGGCGAGTCGTGTTTGGGCAGTTGTTTTTTGAGTTATGACGCCCGGGTTGATATTCTTAACGCCTTATTCTCCATATGTAATAGCCACCGCAGAGAGGGAACCACCAAAGTTGTTGATTGTCTCACCACCACGACATCGTGAGCCATCGTGGTGGGGAGTTAAGGGTGGTGGCAGTCGGGTTGAATTCACTTGACATGCAATGCCCTGACTCGATCTTCCCCGGAACACCGCTCCGCTCGACAGGAGGAGGAGTCCTCCTCATCCGGGAACCTCAACTACGTGACCGAAGACCACGGAAGCAACAGGGTGAGTTGTCCGATGGAAGCACTGCCACGACGGCACAGTGATATCGATGTTGGGCTCGTACGGTTTCCCAAACCCGGCACTGAGAGCCGTGCGGTTTAGTGAGACTGTTATTGAGAGTGCAGTGGTTTGAGCGAGTCGGTATTGCGATTGGGCTGGTTTGTAAATGTACGTGTACAGCTTTGTGCCAATCCACTGCTGGAGGACGATGGCCGCTCCCCACCCCGTGCGGGTCGCGGGGGTTGTTTGACTGTAATTCACCTCGCTGGCAAACGCAGGTTTGTTAATGCGGGGAGCACAGACGTGTCGTCGTAGTGCAGTACAACGATGGGCTTTGCAGCACGGCCCTCTGCCGCCCACACCGTCGCACCGCGCCGGTTGAGCGAGACTGCCGACGATGGCCGCGTGGTTTAGTTCTCCGCCTTTGGGGTTGGCGGAGCTTGTTGTACGTGGAGTTGCGTGGCGAGTCTCACGCCGCCGCCACCGTGGTCGTCTCCGTGATTTCAGACGGAGCTGAGCGCCGGCTCCCCCATCACGCGAGCGCGGATCGTGCACAAGGAGACTGACATCATCACCGCCTTCGCCATCAACCGGGTACCCCGAGCCTGACCCCACCCGTCGTGTCTCTCTGAACACATATGGCCTCCAACATCACGTTCCGTGTTTGTGTGATCGTGTCAGCTGGAAATTATTCAGTATCTTACTATCGTCATCATTGGCCTACGTCAATCCACTGCTGGATGAAGACCCCTCCCCAAGCTGTCGCAATCTCTTGACCGTGTTGTACAAATAAAATTGAAACATAAATAATCGTGCTGTCTCCACTCTCAATTCAAAACAAGAAGCTGTTTAATTATTTCATGACTTTGTCTTGCACTCCGTGAGCATAAATATAACAGCGCATCATTTGCATAAATTCTAGATAATCAATTCTGAAACATATCGTGAGAATCAGAATTAGATGCGAATCAATGCGTCGCTGCTACATGCCCTTGTTTCTACTATGTGGGCCTTAAAACGCAAACAACGCTTTGCTGAAGAGGTCGCGTGAAGTTGAAGCCAACAATCCGGGATTATCTTTATCAAACCAATGGCACCGTAGCCAGCACTCATCTGGCCGATTGCACGTAGGTTAACGCTCCCCACCCCCCCTCCCAAGTGGTGTTTGTTGCGAAGCAACCCAGCGGATTGCCCGCGCTTGAACGTGTGGCTAACGTTGTCTGATCGTGCTTGGGCAGGCGAATCCGTCTTGCCTGGCCGCAGCCTCGGCCCACGAGGTGCTGGAGCTGGACCTGTCGTCCATCTTGTCGTCGAGCTGCCAGGCCTGGGTGGAGGAGGAGTCCGAGTCAGAGGGCAGCAGGTGACCTTTGACCCAGCCGCCCCCCTACCAATCGAGTGGCGTGTGCGACGTTACCGCCTGTCGTGTTGACCCGCGAACGCCCATCCACCGCATGTTGGCGTTGCCCGAACGGTGGCAATCTCGACCAAAACGCTCCAAATGAGTTGTCGCTATGACCGTGGTAAAGTTAATGGCACTCGGCTTCACTGGCTCGTCGGTAAGACACCTGCTGGGCTCTGTTCACGTAGCCTGGTTGTGAAGTTTCATCATCAGTCTCGGTAAATCCACTGCTTGATGAGTTCTGCAGGAGATAATGCCAAACTGCTTCCGAGGTCACTTAAAGTGACCTTTTTTATCGACACACTAGGGACATACACATGCTTTCGCACATCTGCTGCAGAAAAAAGTTAATTGCAATGCAATAACACTTAAATTTGGTAATTAAATAGAATATCAAAGCAGGAATTTATTTTGCGGACCCGCCCATACTAGCCATCTGTGAACATGTGCTTCATAGCTCATTGGATTCCTCCAGTCTAAAGATTCTGACTGATCCACATTAAACGTAGGCATAATTTGATGCCGTGTTTTAAAGTCATCAACTCGCTGCACTCGAGAATCCTGGTTTAATCACGGGCGGCTACAATTGCACTTTTGAACCCAGGGTCTCAGCAACGCCGGCTCGGCGCTCTGACCTCTGAGCCCCACCCGGCGCCACCTCCGCGGGATAAACTCATTGACATCAGCGTTGTTGTCACGTTGACCCCGCAGTAACGAAGACTTCCTGGTGGTCTACACTAAGGACGACGCGTTCCGCAGCTCCAGCATCGGCAGCTTTCACACGAACAGCCCCTACACGCCGAGCAGCACGGGCACCACCAGCTCAGTCGGCGGACAAACGGGCAGAGGGCCCACCATGGTACGGTTCTACTCTAGACAAACCAGACATTCTACCACTATGTTACGACGTGGATAATAGAGGCAAGGCAGCCGTCTACGGTACGATCTGAATTCTAGAGGTCAGACGAGGGGACGCTGTACGGTGTGAGCTACATTCTGGTCCTCGACGGCATCACCCACATCGATAAACCTCATTGCGCTACCTAAGCGGTGGGGGACGAGGGTCGTGCTGTCCACTGCGTATGTGCCCCTTGAGTCTGCAGCCGGCGAGTTGTGGTGTGCGGGGCAAGGGTAACGCGCGCTCGGGCCGTCTTGGTGATGTGTGGGTGCCGTGACGCCGCCTCCTCCTCGCTATCGTTGTTGTCGTTGCCGCCCCCCCCCTCTCCCTTCCGAAAGCTCCTGCGGCGGAACCTGAGCAACGTGCGGAGGATGGCGAGCCACCCGATATTGCCGTACTGTGAGTGGGCGCCACCACGCACGCACCGCACTGCACTGCGCCGCGTGCCCACGGGTTAACCGAGCGGCCAACCGCGCATTGCCGCCCTGGCTGCCCGGTTGTCCCCGGCGCTCGTTGTTGATGGTGCCGGGCAACCCGCTTGTGTCGTTCCAGGCTGTGCCTCGGCATTGCCCTCTCGCCACATTTCCCTGCCTTGAGTGCCCCTCGCCCAACCCCCTTCACCCTCAATGTAGTTTTAGTGTTCTTTAATTTTACAAAGCGTCTTGAGATGCGATTAAAATTAGTTGCCACATGTACACTCGTTTTGTTATTGCGCTACCGACTCGTTGAACGTAATCGATCAGTTTATTTTTGCCCCCCCCCCGCCCGCCGCTGCTTGTCGTAACAATGCTCCCGTGTGCCGCGCCGGCCTCAATGGGCCGCTCGCTGACGACGCTCGCCCCGACGTGCTGTGTGATCCCCACGGCCGGCTGCGTGTCTTTGCAGATGTGACGGGCGGGCAGGACGGCAGCGTGCGCGTGTTCGAGTGGGGTCACGCGGAGCAGCTTCAGGTCATGAGGCCTCCGCCCGCGCCCCGCGTCACCCGCTTGCGTTTCTGCGCCCAGAGCAACCGGGTAAATCTCACTTGGTTTGTTCACGCACACGCGATTCGGTGCCTGGATCGCGGGCTGGAGGAGGGGATTGTAATTGATGGAACCATTACTGGCCGACCCGTTGCCACCGCGTCCATTTCTGTAGCTTTCCTGCCTCCCTCTCTCCCTCCACGGTCCTCCGCTATATCTCGACGTTTCTCCTCCCTCCAGTTCCCACTGATCTCCGAACTCGCCCGCCGTGACACTCGCTGCCAGATCGCAGTCCCCTCCGATTCTCGCCTCAAGCCGCCGCTCGGCCTAACGACGCTCCCGTGCTTGTGTGCGCATGTGTGCATGCGTGTGTGTGCGTGCGTGTGTGTGCGCATGTGTGCGTGCGTGTGTGTGTGCGCATGTGTGCGTGCGTGTGTGTGTGTGTGCGTGCGTGAGCAGAAGTTTGGGGTGACGGATGGTGATGGCTTCCTGAGTCTGTGGCAGCTCGACCTCACAAACAAGAACCCCAAGCCCTACCTGGTGCGTGCCCCACAACAAAAACAACAACAACAAATACGGTATTGTACTTGTTGTTGTGTAGCAGTTAGCGCGCTGCGCGACGAACCTGGCAACCTGAGTTCGATTCCCGCTCACGGCCAAAGCAGCGACGATTAACGAACAGGTCCTGGGCCTCCCCGAGGTTGACTTGGCTTCAGATGAGTATCTGGTGCGGTGTGTAGTAAACATCGCCAATAAGGAGACAAAGGTGGCTGGGCGTGGTGCTGGTCACCCAACCCCCTCATGTGCCATGCCGGCCTTCATAGGTGCACACTAACAGCACTTGCTCTTACAGTTTGTTAATGCTACACGAGAGGTCTTTGCGTGTTCATGAATATCTGCACGTTTAGTGGCGCTTGTTTCAATGCCGCGGCTACTCAAAAGCACTTTGCATCATATATCAACACCGTTCCAATGCCCTGCGGCTTGGTATAGCCTCGGGGGAGGGGGGGGCACCCCCAGTGTCAACCATCTCTGCACAGACGGCACAAGCTGTACGCAGCACCAGCCTGCATGCGGGCATAGCGCCTGCCAATCGGCAGGGCGGCGTTGCCCCCGTGGTTTTCCGAGTGATGTGCGGGTGACCTGTGCGCGTGCGTGTGCGTCGCCGACAGACCCTCAAATGCCACAGCCGTGACACCTTTGACTTCACTTTTCTGGGCTCCTCCAGCGTCGTGGCAACCGCCGGACAGTCGTCCGACGGCCGGTGAGCGACCATCGCTAACCGTTACGACCGGAATCGTTTGTCCTTTCGTTCGGTAATTCGTTCGTGAATTTCTTTATCAGACCTGTGTAGTGACGTTGATTCTGCGCGGTCACCGTGGTAGCAAATTGATATAACTGCGTTGTGCGTTTTTCCTGCGTAGGAACGTTCGCCTCTGGGACACCCTCGTGCCGCACAGGAGCAGCCTGGTGCACGGTACGCCTCGTCACACCCACGATAGCTAGCGGCGGCGCGCGCGTGTGTGTGTGTGTGTGCCCGCTCACTCGCACGGTCTCTCCTGCTGCCCTGCGGCGAGAGTCTGCGTGAAGAGCTACATCGAGGTGATGTGAGCCACGTACCCAGAAAACGTGGAACTTTGGGGTAACGTTGAGGCAACATTGACCCAGCGGTTCTACCCACATGCCAACGTTGCATGTGTTTTCTGGATAAAGGCTTCGCCCGGTGATTTCGTAAAGAGATCTCCTGCGAAGCGTTGCTCCGTCTCCCCCCGGTCACATTGATCTCTGATCTTCCACTTGTGAAGTAATCGCACAAGTGGCAGCAGTAAATAGACTCGTCCTCGCCATGGGAACGAGGAATTTCCACCACTTGCTCAGGGCTTATAAGCATGAGATGAGGGCCACCTTGCACTTATTGGAAATGTTGACGTTAACCTGAATAATTATAAAAACAGTAGGTCCCGGCCAGTTATTTGGCCGGGTATCAGAGCGGCGACGTAGTGATGATCGGCGCAGTGGGGGTCGGGGGGGGTCTGGGGGGGGGGGGGGGTCACTGGTCGCTGATGTTACTTCCCTCGCCGCCGGCGCAGGCTTCCCGTGCCTAGAGGCGGGCGCTACGGTGCTGGGCTACGCGCCGCGCAGCCAGACGCTCATCGTGGGCGGCCGCAAGGGCCACGTGACGCTGCTGGACCTGCGGCAGCGCGTGGCGCGCCACACGGTGCAGGCCCACGAGTCGGCCGTGAAGGCCATCGCGGTGCACCCCGGCGAGGGCTTCTTCCTCACCGGCTCCGCCGAGGGGAACATCAAGGTGAGGGGCGCGTCGGCCGAAGTCCCGTTGCCAGGGCGAGCATTGACCTTCACGCCGACCCCCAACCCAACCCTGACCTTAACTCTAACCCTTAACTCAAACCCCGACCTTTAAACTAACCCCTAACCCAACCCTGACCTTCACGCTGGCCCTTAGCCCAAACCCTGACTTTCACACTCACCCTTCACCCAACTCTGTCCTTAACGCGCTGACCCCTAACCCAAACCCCTTTACGCCAACGTCTAATCATTACCTTCATGCTGACTCCTAACCCCACATCCAGCAGTCTTTAATGACAAATGGGAGAGCGCTATGTTTTTTTATAGTGCTCATGGATAAACTATCAACTAAACTATTAACTATTAGTATTTTTTGCCAGGTAAGGCCCGCTGAGCTATATTGCTCTTTTTCAGAAATGACCTGGCTTTCGCAAATGATAGCTCAACGAAGTGGGCTTATCACATGGAAATTTATCGCAGCCAAATTCTCTAAACTCTGTAAATCTCCGCCCACGTTGCCAGGTGTGGTCCCTGCCGGCGCCGACGCTGATCAGCACCTACGCCAACGAGCACGCCCGCCAGTCCATCTTCCGGCACCTGGGCGCCGGCGTGATGCAGATCGAGACGGGGCCGGGCCGCCACGTCTTCTCCTGTGGCGCCGACGGCACCATCAAGACGCGCGTGCTGCTGCAGCACTCGGGCGGCTGGTGACCACCGCCACTCTCGCCCACCAGCCCGCCCGCCCGCCTGCCCCGCCCGCCCGCCCACCTGCCCAACTAACCCCGTCCCACCCACGCATAACACGCCCAACGCGGCCACTCGTGCCGGAGTAAAGCACGAAGGGGCGCTTTGCAGGGTCGGGGCCCCCTGCTCTATAGGGGAACGGCTTGGTCGGCACTGGGTTGGTGTTACCGCCGGGTGCCGGCCGATCTGAAGCGTGGTTGGCGGGGAGGGCAGGCACCCCTCTTGTGCCCCGAAGCGTCCTACCGAGCCTCGGCGTGGGTTCGGCGCCGGGGCCCACGGCCGCCGCGCCAACCGCAGTGCCGACGCGTGCGCCCGGCTGCCGCCCCGGTAAAAGCACGGCATGCGCTGTGTGTAAGGCGTCTTCTCTTCTTGGCTGTGCACGCACCGTTCATAGGTTGGATATAATAACTGGAGAACAGCGGGAACAACAAAACAAATCCCCGAACACAGCTACGCGGTTTGTTTTTCCTCTGTTTCGAAGTAGTTTTTGTTGTTGGTTTTTTGTGCAAGCGGGCCTTCCGCCGCCGCGAGTGACGGATGCTTTATCCCTCCTCAAGGGGGATATTGATGGGTCCCGCGCGGGAGGGAGAGCCCGAAAGTGTCGATGAGCAGGGTTCGCACCCCGTCGCTTTACCAGCCTCCTCGTGATGTTTTATCGCTTGTAAAATATAAATATGACGTGTACGCGACGACGAAACGAGGGTTTTGAGGGCGTTTGACGAACAAACGCAAGTCCGGCAATCGTGTGTGAAAACCACAAACGTGTGTGTGAGACAAAGCTTCGGGGGGGAGGGGGGAACATCTCGTACAACCTATAGCTTGAGCTTGAACACACCTACGTGTAAGCACACCCCTCACCTCAAAGGCCTCGTTAGGGTATTATTTTCTTGTTGTTGTGACGATCGCAAGCTGGGATAAACAAATTATATATGAGGAGACATTTACGGAGATGTAAAATAAAATATAAATATGTGTATATTGCTCTGGCTGTTTGTAAATGATTCCACTTTGAAGGCGTAAACTTGAACCAACGGGAGGGGATGGGTAGAGGAGCATCGTCGTCATTGGTTTGCATCGAGTGGCCATGCTCCCTGACACTTTTTTTCGCCCGTTTTTATGGGCAAAGGCGGTGCCGTGCTGCGGTCGCGAGTAATCCGGGCGGAAATGTGATTTGTTTTTTTGTTTTGCAGGAGGGAGGGGGGGTGTGAATTTCGTTGCGTTTCTGTGCAAAGCGTTTGGCGGGTGCAGGGCAGGATCGCCGTGATTCGGGGGGCGTGCACCGCTCGTCGCTGTCCAGAGAGCCGCATGCAACGCGCGTACCGTACGTTGACCTTTTTTTCGCACCGCCGTACGTAGCCGGCCGACCGTGTTAACCGGAGGTGCGGGGGAAGGACGATGTGCAGTGCCTCGTCTTCGCCAATGGTCGTGTAGGCGCTGCGGGTTCGCGAGCGCGAAATGCTCGTACATTGCACGTGATCGGGTCCAGTGCATGTGATCGGGTGCAGTCTTTCTCAGCCTGATGCCTTGTTCAGGGGTAAGGGTGGTGTCACTTTGGATCATGATTATCATTATTATTGCTGTCAACGTTTTTCCTTTTTTGTTGTTAAGCTTCGGAGGTCACCAAGGAGAATGGCTGATCAGACCGGATTGTTGCAACACTCCCATTTTTGCGTGCGCGCAGCTGGCACTGTCCATCGTGTTCCTTTGCTACTGCCTGAGGGTGACGGAGCACGCGCGAGGCTCTGGCGCGTCGCACGGCCGCTGTAAACGAACAACGACGGCGTTTAGTCGATGACCGGTCTGCCCTTTACAGCAAAATATCGTTCGGTTAAATATCGTTTCAAAGCGATGCTGTGACCTCAAACGCTCTCGCTATTGGCCGCTGACTCCGTAACACTTTGTGCCATTGTTGTTGTGTTTGGCTGATGGGACATCGGTTCTCGCCATCGCTTCTGCGTCACCCGGGTGTTCTTGTCTGCGTTGGTGGGAGCTGACTTTTGAATCTGAATGCATGATCGTGGTGGGACAGGCTAGGCCGCAGAGCCCGAGGTCGCATCATGGAACTTGAATGAGCCTGTCCCGACTTTCCTCCTAAGGCATTATATCGGTAATATTTTGGCAGCTGTGCTGGATGACGGCCTCTCCCCCTGCGCCGTGTGGGTATCGGGGGGCCGTGACCGTCGCCACGCTGGTTGATGCGGACCGGTGAAGGGCGTGGGGCCCTTGAGCGGTTCCGGATCTCACTCGGCACCGCTGTCGGCCACGGCTGAGAACGACGGGTGCGGCACGCTAATCCGCTGGCCGCCGCTGCTCCTCCTAAGGCATTATCGAGTACGGGAAATCTTCCCTCGGGGTCTGTTTGTGCCCACCGGCTGCTCGAAGTAGTTTGTAGACGAATCGTATTTTCTTGCGTTGGTGCTTGAATGTGCTGCTTTGACCGGCTCCGTTGGTGTGCAGGAGGAGCCCGGCCGGGCCGCGAGCGGCGACGCCTCCGTGGCGCGCCCGACTCCCGCATGGACAAACGGACGAAGCCGCGAATGCGCGCGTCGCTCGCCCGTTGTCAACTTGGCGTACGCGCAAGCGCGGCGCAGGGACTGGAAGGGGTCTGTGCAATGGCCGTGTTGGAGCCCGATACATTTTTTGCCAAAATACCTGAATCCGCTGAGAACAGTGGATGGGTCTACCGCGCCGCTTTGCCAAGACGATTAGTCGTTTTATTTCTGCCTGGCGCTGCTGATGAGTAATGCAAGTGACCCGTTTGGTTTGAACAAAACACGACATACCCGATTGTGTTGAATTAATGAAACGTGACGCCTGAGGTTCGTTTGCCAATTTTTGCACAACGCCTGTACAGGGCGACGGCCATCGGTTTCCGCGCGCATTCGCAAATCCAGTTATTTATTTTGTTTTTAGCCTCGCAAAATGTTTTTTTTTTTAACATGCCCCAAGAAGAAAAAATAATGGCAAGATTCTCGAGTCGTTCGGCCGGAGGCGAAGGGTATCTTTTTTAGCCCGAAGCGTAGGCATTTTCGACCACGACCTTGCACAGAAACAACCCCGATTGTCAAACGCCTCGGCGAGGAAGGCACTCCTCTCGGTTTCTCGTCCGCAAGGCGGCTGGTGTACCGAACACGTGCCACGTTCGCTACCCCGGGTGTGAGGAACGCGCCAACGTTTACACGCGGAGCTGGCGTCTTGTCCGCTGCTCGCCGAGTGTAGTTTTTATTTCCTTGATCGCGATCTGGAAACGCCGCGCGCGCGCATCGCTCCGCACGCGGCCCCAGGGGGCCGTTCCCTCGGCCGGTCTTGTCGGCCGCGCAGTGAATCGCCTGCCATTCCTTCACTTTTGATGTCTTAATTGTCGTTGAGTTTTTTTTGTTCTGTAATGTGTTGTTTTGTTGTTGTTATTATGACGTGCGAGAGCCGCGGAGTGGCAATGCTGAACATGGATGCTGTATTCCGTTGCTTGCGAGCTTCGGGTTCTAGTGGCCAGTTTACTCATTCGGGGTAGGTGACGCATCCTCCCGCCTGCGTGGTGCAATCTCAGCGTTCCGCTCAAATATATAACAAATGCCATAATTTAAACAAGCATTACTTTAATTGCATTTGCCATAAAAGTTCTTTATATTGTAATCGTGTTATAATGGCAGGATGCTACCTATAACCATTGTGAAACCGCGACCTTTCCAGCGTGTTAAACTGATGTATAGAGGACGGCACACTATAGTAGTAGACTCCTGTTCTCACAGGAGCAGGCTCTGTCGACAAAGGCTCTCCTCCCGGACACTGACATGCATGGCTGACCACGGCCAAGTGACCCGTTCACCTGCGTGTGTGTAACTCGCAGATTTGCGAGATCATAAACCCTGCCGTTTTGCGTGCTGCCACTCCGCATGGCCCGGGAAGTCCACCTCGCCACACCGCCAGGTGCACAGAGAGCAATGCGCGCGGCCCTCTCAGCGAATGTGCGGCCGCTTGACACGATTGGATTTCACGCCGGAGTTGAGCTGGCCATGATGATGAGGAGGAGGGGGGGGGGTTCCCGTGATTTTTTACTTTGGTTAAATTCTATCGCACGTTGCCAAGCAGCCTGCTCACTTGATTGTGTTTCGTTTGGTTTGTTTATTTCTCCTGGGATACTCGCCGTCGTAGGTGGCGGGTGGCTCTGGCTGACGAGGCTTGGCCAAGCACAACAAAACCATTCACCCACCAGATGTTGCATTCAAACCGAGCCACTACCGTCCCGCAACAGCTTCTGGAGCGCGCCGCACTCTGCGAGAGATCCCCAGGCCTCAACCGGCAGGGCGCGTGGTAGACCGCCGACATCCGCGAACCCGCGCGGTTGGAATTTGTTAATAATAAAAAACAAAACGAGAGAGCCCACGAGAGGCGGATGTGATCGGCGAGCCGGGGGACCCTTTGGGCTCCCGAGTCGACCACGTGCTCTGCTTGCCATGGGCCTTGCGATTTCTCTCTCGTTCGTGAAAATTACTCATTTCATTTAATACAGAAAGAATAATATTTTATTTCAAATATTATTTGAGCTCTCGCCCCCCCCAGTTGGCGATTCGGTGACAGTAAATAAATAATAATACATCTCCGAATCTTTTGGGGTCCAGTCGGGCAGAGTAAGTGACATTGAATTTGAATTAATGCATCTCAGGGGATTGGCGATTTTTTTAAAGCGACTGGGATCGATGTTCGCGATGCACGTTGCACCAGGGAACCGCGGGGCTGGTTGTGAAGCTCCCCACGTTGAAGCCCTGAATCACGAGTTGGGTGGCTACGATGCACGTGGCGGCCTGGAAATCCGGCACTGTGGGGGCAGCAGCGAGGGGTTTGGTGGATCGCAAGCGGATGTTGCGAGACTTGCTCCGCCGCGTGCATCGAGGAAAGTGCCTTACCCCTGGCTCGCCAGGAGAAGGCGGTCCAGCAGAATGTGGACTAATCTCTACGGGATAGAGCGTTGCCCCCTCGCACTCACGCGTGCGTGCGTTTCCTCTGGGTGCTGAGGTATCCCTCGCACGTAACATCGCTCGTAGATTGGCTGAAAACACCTCAAAATAAAATCACAACGAAGCAGAACCCGCGTGGAAAACATTCCCTCCCGGGATAAACAAGTAATTGGTATTGTTATTACGAGCCCATTTTTGTAACGTACGGTTAATCGGTGAATTCAAGGTCGGATTTGCCGGACTGTATTTGACATTCCAGTGATGCTTTTGTGAATATTCATCTCAACCGTTCTCACACCCCCACACACACACCAACACCGTGTGCCGTATTAGTGTTATATGGTGTATAATAATGACAGCCTGTATGGCATCGTATTAGGATATTAGGCTGTGTTAAGTGTAAGGCTTCTAGTCCAGGTGCTCGGTGTGGTTTATACGCCACTGCGCCCTCTGTCCAGCTGTCTCAAGTAAAAATTAGCGGACGATACATTGTAAGGACTGCCTTTGCATTTGTGGAGCAAACACGTCCAAAAAGACCTCGCCACAATTTGTCATTAACACTGTTGTATAATGAAGAAGATATATAGAGCAGGCTGACGTTTGAGGCAATGGACCTACTTCAGAGCATAGAGAAAAAGAGATCGGCTGACTCTGTAGTTGAGAGGTGGCACTTTTCTCGGGTGGGGAAATATGTTGTACTTTTTAAAATGAAATGTTACATCATTTTGTCAACTCCACTGCCAGATGAAGGTCTCCGCGGAGCCGCGCCGGTCATGGGGATTGTTTGACCATACCCCACCACGCTGCTGACTCACTGCAGGGTTGGGTGAAGGCGGGTGGGGTGGGTTCCGATTCAGATGTCGCTCGCCACTCATGTTCGCCGCAGATGAACATCAACGCTTGGGTCACAAGTTCAGAGGGCTAACGACTCTCCCAGAATTTTTCCTCATTGATACAACAAAACAATGAACGCGCAGTCGGGCTTTCGCGACCAGTATTATCCATCGTCGAGTTTTTTTGGGGTTAGATCGCGTAAATATAAATGTGTCGTTAAACTGGCCACCACCCGGCACGGCCAGTTCGTAAGGGTTGTCACGTAAACAAAACGCGCCAATTCGTTTCTACTTCAGCACGCCGATTGTGTATTGGAGAGTAAACCCCCCAGTCCAACACACCGGCGGTATGCTGAACTAGTAACTGTTTGGCAAGTTTTGTTTACGTGGCTGTCGGGTGGTGGCGGGTTTAACTACGAATTTTATTTACGTGATCCATTCCACAAAACCGATATTATGGATTAAAAAACCTAATACTGTATTAGGGTTCGATACTTATTGTCTGCACCTAACAAAAGAATTCTTGCCCCCGTCAATCGAGAACCGATGATTTGTCATCTTCCTTGAAACGTCTCGATCCAGGGGCCCCCCGTCGTGCGGCGAGCGATCTCCACTTTGGGTTGATGCGAAGTTGGGACAGTGGGAGCAGGCAGAGCGCCGAGCGCGAACATCATCGCGGAATCTCGGCCGAGGGGAAGTTTCCTCTTGACCTTTCGGTTTGTCGAGCAGAGCGCGCCGCCCGCTGCTGTGTCAAGTCGCCGTGGGATGACCGCGTGGTGTCTCTGGCAGAAGGGACCACTCTCAGAGCCGCGGGGTCAACATATAAATAAAGAACTTCAAAGGGGGGCGGCCTGCGTTCAGTGAATCTCTCCCCGCTCGAACGAGCATCGGCGGTCTCTCATTTTTATTGGCGGCCTTGAACCAGTGATGGCAATTCCACATTCTCATGGCAGAGACAGTTCTATCCATGTGAAAGCTCCTGGTACTCGGTTTATATACTGCAAAGTCTCATTACTATAGACGATGGTTTGAGTCAACCGATGTTTAATTATATAATAACCACGTGACCAGTAATCGTCCAGAAGGAACAGCACTAGCTTTCTTGGGTTTACCGAAATATATATTTGTGTTCAATGTACTTGCTGCTGTACCGAACCAGCCAAAGAGTCTCATTAACAAGATATTTAGATTGCAAGCCCGGAGGTTTTGTTTGAAAGCCCCGACTTAAGAATGAGGCTTCACACATGTTCGTCCTTCACCACCAAGTGTCAGCTCGCAGCACCTTGTCACATGTAAACCGTGTATTGAAATTACAATTACCGCTGAAATTGATCGTTTAAAGTCCCCGCTTAAAACCACCGCCAACAAAAAACATAACTCCACAAAAACGCGACGTCTGCAAAAAAATCATAGCACTATTATTATTTTTTTATCGTTAACGCTGGCGGTTTATTGGGTACTGCACTCTATAGCCACGGCATCTAAATCAGCTCAACTCCTGTAAACCACGTGACTTGTGGGGACATCCCCACTCTGAGTCCTTCCCCTCTCACCTCTACATCCCGAGCTCGCTATCTAAATCGGTTCAAGCATCCCAGAAACCACGTGGCTTGTGTGTGGCCACGCCCACTCTTAACTCCTCTCCTCTACCCCGCCCCCTCTGAAAACAGACGCCGCTCCTCCGGTGCAGCAGCGTCGAGGCCCATGTGCAGCCTCTTAATAAATCTTCGTTTCTCCGTTCCTTTCCCATTCTTTCCACTCTCAGGTCACATTCTTGCTCTACTCGCTTCCCGTTCCCGTGACGTTCTCTTTACCCATTCATTGCGCCCTCGACTTCTCGTAGTGCGCCGCCACGGGCTACACCAGTTGCTAGTGCAGTAGGCCGTACGTTTGTCTCACGTGCTCTCGTCTCACAATCGAAGGTGCCCGCTGCACTGATCCCAGCTGCTCGCGGTCATGCACTGTGTACAGTGTCCCTCTGGAGGGGTGTCTCTTTGTGTAATTTGGGGAGCGGTCGTACGGTGGTGAGCGCGCTACACAAGGAACCCGGCCACGAGAATCCGGTTCCGGCTCATGACCAACACCAGCGACGATTATCTGAACCGGTCCTACCCCCTCCTCCTTCCCGAGGTCAACTCGGCCTCAAATGAGCACATGGTGCGGTGTGTAAACATCGCCAGTCGGTACACAAAGGCGGCCGTGCGTGGTGCTGGCCACCCACCCTCGTGTGCCGTGCCGGCCTTCATAGGTGCTCGCTAACAGCACTTGCCTCAAAAGCATGTTAAGGCTACACGGGTCATATTTGTGTCTGTAATGGGCTGAATCGGAACGAAAGGAAGATGTCATATTGTTATACTTTCTCCTTGAGCGTAATTGTCTTGTTTTGGGGGGCAATGGGGCTTCTATCTATGAATATATATCCAAGCGCACACCTGTCTGTAAATCCCACCTGAGTATACAAATAAATCTAATTTGCGTACCTCGTCGCGTTATCGGCTGTAGATTTGTTCCGCGGCGTGCGTGGCGCGAGTTGATTTGTTCGACTTTTGCCGCTCCTCTTGCTGGTGACCGGCACCACCCCCTCCGCACGCCCAGGCGGGTCTTGGTGGGGGGTGGGGTGTTATCTGACCCGTAACCTCCATTCACCACGGCCGTCAGTGTGGGGTTGCAAGCGGAGAGAGCATTGGCCTGGGTGCATAGTTACAGTGCACCACTATTCCAAGATGAGAAATTAAGCCCTAACTGTACAGTGACGAACAACATTGTTTATTTGATTACAGCACACACTACACATAACTTAAGCAGACAACGAACACACCTCTTTCACATATCTGCCCTTCCACATGAAACAAAAATAGTATATATTGTTTTATACATGCCAGCGTTTGTTCAAAACAAGCAAATCGTCTGGAATAGTTTTGACAGTGTCTCATCATTGACTGCTGATCATCAGCAGAGTCAGGCTCGCTTGAGTGAGCCCTGGTGAACTCCAAGATGTTTATTGGCTCGGACCATCAATGTTAGCTGTGGATTTTAGTCAAGTTTCAAGTTTCATTTATTAGGTATAGGCCTGTGAGCCATGAGGCTCTTAAGTCGGGTGCAACCGCAACAAACAAAATATGAATCTACATTGCAGAAAACTATTACACCACAACCAGACCAAAATAAAGCTACAAAAACAATATAACAACAGTAATCATAGGAACTGTGGTTTTAAATTTAACAATAAACGATATACATAACACGTACGACAAAACCTGCAGCCATAGCTGGCAGAACGACACTCCCAGTGTATGATGTGTGAGTGAGGCAGCAGCAGCGTGAGTGAGTATGATGTGTGAGTCGGCGTATGATGTGCGAGTCAGCGTATGATGATTGAGTCAGTATTAGGTTGAGTGAGTGTATGATGTGTAAGTCAGTGCACGATGTGTTAGCGCATGATGAGTGAGTCAGTGTATGATGTGTGAGCAAGTCAGCGGCAGTGTGAGTTAGTGTATGATGTGCGAGTGAGCCAGCACACGATGAGTGAACCTGTGTATGATGAGTGAATGGGTCAGTGGTTGTGCGAGTGTATGATGTGTGAGTAAGCGCATGATGAGCGAGTCAGTGCATGATGTGTGAGTGAGTCAGTGCATGGTGTGAGTGAGTCAGTGCATGGTGTGAGTGAGTCAGTGTATGATGTGTGGGTGAGTCACGACCCAATATTGTACAAGTGTAGTGTTCAACACGGAGGCACGTACTCTGGACTGGGAGGCAACACTTTTATTTCACAACTTCCCTAGCGGGTAACACTGAACGTAACTCAGGTTTTCTAGTAGGTGATGTGGCTCACTATGTGACTAGCGAGTTAACTCGAGACGAAGACCCAGGCTTGATTCCACAGACGAGCCAAGAACGCTCTCGGGACTGCCCCTTGATGCTCCTGGGCGTGGCCTCGCTCCGCCTTGGGCCACGCCCCCTTCGAGACCTTTCCCGAAGGATCTCGACCCAGCATCACGTGCCCCACTCAGGCGACCACGTCCTCACTGGCCCTCTCTGAGGCCATCGCCAGGACTATGCCCCCTAGGGCTGGCTGACACGCCACACTTACTCTGGTGCTAGAGAGAGGCTCCAGACGCACAGTTGCACTCCTGTAACAGTAGCTGGCGCGAACACCCGAGTGACACCATTTACGTCACTACAATATGGATGTTGAACTTCTTTCGCACCGTACGTAGCCAACCATGCTAATGGGAGGTGCGGGGGAAGGACAAACTAAACACAAAGAGCAGTTCTAAATAAATGAGTTGTCAATCCAGATGATGATTTACAAGTACCTAATCGGTCCCAGTGGCTTCCTAATATCCGAAGGAAGAGACCCACAAAGATATAGAGACTCATATATAGACTCCTATAGACACATAGATACCCACAGCGACTCCTATAGAAACACAGAGACCCACAAAGACTCCTATAGAAACACAGACCCACAGAGACTCGTATAGAAACACAGACCCACAGATACTCATATAGAAACACAGAGACCCACAGAGACTCATATAGAAACACAGAGACCCACAGAAACTCATAGAAACACAGAGACCCACAGAGATACAGAAACTCATATAGAAACACAGAGACCCACAGAGACTCCTATAGAAACACAGAGACCCACAAAGATACAGAGACTCATATAGAAACACAGATACCCACAGAGACTCATAGAAACACAGAGACCCACAGAGATACAGAGACTCCTATAGAAACACAGAGACCCACAGAGACTCCTATAGAAACACAGAGACCCACAGAGATACAGAGACTCCTATAGAAACACAGAGACCCACAGAGACTCACATAGAAACACAGAGACCCACAGAAACTCATAGAAACACAGAGACCCACAGAGATACAGAAACTCATATAGAAACACAGAGACCCACAGAGACTCCTATAGAAACACAGAGACCCACAAAGATACAGAGACTCATATAGAAACACAGATACCCACAGAGACTCATAGAAACACAGAGACCCACAGAGATACAGAGACTCCTATAGGAACACAGAGACCCACAGAGACTCATATAGAAACACAGAGACCCACAGAGATACAGAGACTCGTATAGAAACACAAAGACCCACAGAGACTCATATAGAAACACAAAGACCCACAAAGATACAGAGACTCATATAGAAACACATAGACTCATATAGAAAGACAGAGACCCACAGAGACTCATATAGAGACACAGAGACCCACAGAGATACAGAGACTCATATAGAAACACAGATAACCACAGAGACCCACAGAGACCCAAAGAGACACATAGACTCATATAGAAACAAAGAGACCAACAGAGACTCATATAGAAACACAGAGACCCACAGAGACTCATATAGAAACACAGAGACCCACAGAGACTCATATAGAAACACAGAGACCCACAGAAACTCATATAGAAACACAGAGACCCACAGAGACACATAGACTCATATAGAAACACAGAGACCCACAGAGATAGAGAGACTCATCTAGAAACACAGAAACCCACAGAGACACATAGACGCATATAGAAACACAGAGACACATACACTCATAGAAACACAGAGACCCACAGAGACTCATATAGAAACACAGAGACCCACAGAGATACAGAGACTCCTATAGAAACACAGAGACCCACAGAGATACAGAGACTCATATAGAAACACAGAGACCCACAGAGATACAGACTCATATAGAAACACAGACATCCACAGAGACACACAGAGATACAGAGACTCATATAGAAACACAGAGACCCACAGAGATAGAGAGACTCATCTAGAAACACAGAAACCCACAGAGACACATAGATGCATATAGAAACACAGAGACACATAGACTCATAGAAACACAGAGACCCACAGAGACTCATATAGAAACACAGAGACCCACAGAGATGCAGAGACTCCTATAGAAACACAGAGACCCACAGAGATACAGACTCATATAGAAACACAGAGACACACAGAGACACACAGAGATACAGAGACTCATATAGAAACACAGAGACACACAGAGACACACCGAGACACATAGACTCATATAGAAACACAGAGACTCACAGAGTCACAGAGACTCATATAGAAATAGAGACCCACAGAGACTCATATAGAAACACAGAGACCAACAGAGATAAAGAGACTCATATAGAAACACAGAGACCCACAGAGATAAAGAGACTCATGTAAAACCACAGAGACACATAGAGATACAGAGACACATCGAGTTCCAGAGACTCATATAGAAACAAAGAGACCCACAGAGACACATAGAGATACAGAGACTCATATAAAACCACAGAGACCCACAGAGATACAGAGACTCATATAGAAACACAGAGACCCATACTCATGTTGGTCTTCTTTCGCACCGTAGTAGCTAACCGTGCTAATCGGAGGTGCGGCGGGAAGGACAACAAACTAATCACAAAATGAACAATACTATACACAACATTAACAAACAAATCAGATCTAAATAACAAATAAGCGGAAAATGTGCCTCCGTTCCACCTCTTTATAATACCTACTCAGTAGCGGGACTACTCCGCTTGCTTCTGATTCATGTGCGATTTAGACCAAGGGCCATTGCCTGAAACGTTGCCTATTAGATGTATTCACTTGTCAAGGGCACAGCATCAGCGTGCTGAACGTGCGTGTCGCGTTCTTAAGCTGTGCTTCGCACCGCTGCCAACGCAGCAGCAGCAACATCGCCACCAGATAATTTGTTTAATTCTCGAGCGTATTTATTCAACCGAAATTTCTCTTGTCTGTTATGTATGTCAATGCAAATTAATTTATCCGTTGATAATACTCTGCAATTAATGAAGTGTTTGTCTTTTACGCAATAGCTACTATTCATTAGTGTGCCTATCATACAAAACAATGACAATGAAAAATGTAATTCTCATTCGGCCCCGAATCTCATACCTGCCAACGCCTTAGTGCCCTACCTTATGACAGACAACTCAGACCTTACTGGTCACTGGTCACCCCGTGCCTTTATAAATCTCAACGTTCATCCTGCAAAGTCCCATTACAAGGGAGAAACACGGACAAACAAATCATGCTTTTGCCCGTATTGAAACGGCTGTACGCCGTATTGACCTGAACACTCAATTTCCCTGTACAAGAATACGGGAATTGCACTCTTATCTCTCTGCTGGCCTCTCCACGTGCCCTGCAGAAGGGCCATTGGCCGAAACGTCTACCAATTTAATTATTAACTGTTAAGCCCGCAAACCGTGGTCTCGTCTCGACTCTGATTGGCCGCACCCCGGCAGCTATCCCCGCCCCTCAACATCTCGGCCCTTCCCCCCCTATCTCGCCCCTCTCATCCGCACGTGACGCGCAGCTGACCAATCGCGCGCGAGCCGTGCGCTTGAGCGGATCGCGCGGGCGGCGCTGGGCCGCGCTCGCAGCCTGCGGACTTTCCTGGCGGGCGCCCCCCGCCGGTCTCCCCTTTGGTGGGGGGGGGGGGAGGTTTGCGGTACAATGGCGAGCGGCCGGCGACGTCAAAAGCACTCGTCCTCCACGTCGTCGTCGTCGTTGTCGCCGCCGTCGTCGCCCGCCATCTCCATGCGCGACATGGGGCGGCCGCGCGGCGGGGAGAGGACTGAGGTGGCCGGAGCGCGGACCCACCCGGTGGTGCGAGGGGATACCCTGGCGGGGTTGGCGCTGCGCTACGGGGTCACGGTGAGTGAGGGTCGCGCTCTGAGCGAGTGAGTGGAGCTGCACAGCACCCCCCTCCCCTCCCCCCCTGCACACCGCTTCCTCTCTCCACTGCTGGATGAATGCGCAAAGACGACCCCGGGGTTTCGTGTGCGGGTTTGTTTGACCGGTGGCGCAATCGGTCAACTCGTGACAGCCTCTTCCGAGACCTCCTGCCAGCAGCGAGCCTTCCACCACTTCACGTGACGGCCTCGACGTGCACCTAGCCTGGCACAAGCGCCGCGGTAACGTCACCACCACTTAGTGTTGTTTGACCATACTTCACCACGCTTGGTCAGTGCGGGCTTGGGCGAAGTGTCGGGCGTAGTAAGGGGGGAATGGATGCACCGGTACGGTTCGGATGTCCCGTCAGCAGCCCCCACTGACTGACAGCAGCCCCCACTGACAGCAGCTCCCACTGACTGACATCAACCCCCACTGACAGCAGCCCCCACTGACTGACAGCAGCCCCCACTGACAGCAGCTCCCACTGACTGACAGCAGCCCCCACTGACAGCAGCTCCCACTGACTGACATCAACCCCCACTGACAGCAGCTCCCACTGACTGACAGCAGCCCCCACTGACAGCAGCTCCCAATGACTGACAGTCGCCCCCACTGACAGCAGCTCCCACTGACTGACATCAACCCCCACTGACAGCAGCTCCCACTGACAGCAGCTCCCACTGACTGACAGCGGCCCCCACTGACTGACAGCAGCCCCCAGTGACAGCAGCCCCCAGTGACTGACAGCGGCCCCCAGTGACTGACAGCGGCCGCCTGTGACTGACAGCGGCCCCCACTGACTGACAGCGGCCGTCTGTGATTGACAGCGGCCGTCACTGACAGTAGCCGCGACTGCGTGCGATGTGAATTAACTTGCGAGCAGTCAGCGTGGGTGATAGTACCGGGGTGAGTCGCTCTCAAAGCTGTCAACCCCTTCTCAGTGCCCTACCCTATTACAAACTCATTCAGACCTTAGTGGTCACCCCGTGCCCCTATAAATCTTACCGTTCATCATACAAAGCCCGTATTAAAACGGCTGTACGCCGTATGGACATGAAAACTCAATATCCATGCACAAGAATACGGGTAAACCGTATGGGTTGGCACGGTATATGCGCTCTGGATATGCGCCATTGATGCCCCGAAATTGGCACCACAACATTGGCGCTTCACGGACGCCACCAACGTTAACGCTCAACAGCATTGGCTGTTCATTGACCTGTTACTTTGGCACTGACATTTCATCGGTGCTAGAATATAAATATTGTACTACACCAGCATAATTAATGCTGAAATGTTAATTATTCAATATTGGTGCGTCGTCAAAATAAGAATGAGAGGGCATTGACGATTAATCCCCACATTAAAATACATTAAAATACAAGTCACGGTGCGATTGTGGCCATGCAAAAAAACTGCATTTTAAAGTAAGTCCCTGTTGTCTGCGCTGCTTCAACGGAGGAGGAAGAGACAGAAAAACGACGTGAACTCTCTCTGCTGAAGCCCTCTCTCATGGCCAGCAGCAGACCTCTGCATTGATTGGCATAGAGCTCCTGAATATATTGGCACACGCAAGACTATAATGCCAACAGTATTGTCACTCGGTTAATAGTGGACTGCTGTGTTAGTGTAAACAGCATTGGAACTACAATATTCTCTACGACACTCTTAGTGCGACAGCATCAACGATACTGCACTGAAATAGTAATAATGGCATACTTCATCAATACGTGCATATTGGTGATGGGCTGGACTCATCAGAGTGCGCGATAACAAGTTGTTCGGACCAATACAGTGCTATATAACATGAATGTTGGTACCTTTTTTGCCAGTATCAAAGTATGACAAATATGAATGTTTTACCCTTTCTGGCAATTAAACAGGAGGTGTTTAAGATGTTCAGACACCAAATAGAAACCTTTTTACAAGGAATCAAGTCTGCATTAACCACACACGGTACCAGTGGTGAACATGCAAACAAACATGCTCTGATAAAAAAAAAATGGCATTGTCTTTGAAACCTTTTGGCCTTGGATTTCTATTTAGTGTTTAAACATCTTAACACTAGTTTTATTGCCAGAAAGGGTAAAACATTCATATTTTTCATAATATGAATGTTACAGCATGGGCCGTTCTTTATAAATACACCCACATACGGAGACTTGAGCAGGCAAGGTAATTCCCTGCTCAAATAGGCATTGACGAGGTGCTCATCTCCTGTTTTACAGCCCTGAGCCAGCGGTGGAAAATTCCACGTTTTTATTCCTTTGGCAGGGGGCGAGTCTCTCCACAGGATGACAGCTTTCCATAGTCACGAAAACAATGCGTGTTCAACTTGCATAACGAGCCTTCCCTCCCTCGATCCGGCCGCGAGATGGAACGATCCTAACTCCACGGGGCTCCGTCTTGGACAGCGCTCGCGAGGAGCTGTCCCCCACGCTGAGCGCTTTCCAAGCAGCCACAGCGTCGCCAACCCAGCCTCCTCTGGGCCCCCCCCCAGGCTCCTCTGGGCCCCCCCAGCCTCCTCTGGGCCCCCCCCCCAGGCTCCTCTGGGCCCCCCCCAGGCTCCTCTGGGCCCCCCCCCCAGCCTCCTCTGGGCCCCCCCCAGGCTCCTCTGGGCCCCCCCCCCCAGGCTCCTCTGGGCCCCCCCAGCCTCCTCTGGGCCCCCCGCAGGCTCCTCTGGGCCCCCCCAGCCTCCTCTGGGCCCCCCCCCCAGGCTCCTCTGGGCCCCCCCCCAGGCTCCTCTGGGCCCCCCCCCAACCTCCTCTGGGCCACCCCAACCTCCTCTGGGCCACCCCCAGCCAGGGCTCGCTCCCCTTGGCACCGAGAGTACCCAGAGCCTCCATCTCCTCCCGGCAGGCCCCGAGGTTCCGCAGGAAGCGTCTCAGGAGTCGCCGTCTCTCTCTTCTCTTCTCTTGATCAATAGGACGACTGCTGTTGACTTTTCCACGAGTCACAAACCCCTGACCAGGACTTCAACTCACAACCTTCTGATTGCGAGCTGCTCGCTCTACCGCATTGACGTTTAATTAAGATTGCAATGTGTATACTCGAGCACTGACCTCGATGTCATTGTGTTGTTTTTGGATACGTCTGCTCATCTGTATATAGATTTGGCTATCAAGTACTCGCGTCAAATGTCAGCTCTAGAGCCCGTTCAGAAGATCACATCAGTCATCCATCTCTATTGCCCTTCCAGAAAATAATTAATCTCACGAAATAGAAACTGCAGCATTGACACTTCACCATCAGCATCGTCGTCATCATCAACCATGCCGGCTAAACAATTGGAGACATCGGTTGGAGGAACGTAACTAAAAAACAAAGAAGATTGTTGCGCTCAGTACCTGGGACAGTTATTCAAGGAGGACCGAGATGAACATGACGCTGCATTAATACAACAACATTATCACCACAGTCTTGTGCACTGTTACGACAGTATTGACACTTTAGACCAGTGGTTCTTAACCTGGGTTCGATCGAACCCCAGGGGTTCGGTGAGTCGATCTCAGGGGTTCGGCAGAGCCCCCGCCACGGAGGTCCGGACACACTTGAATTATTGTGTAAATTTGTGATGACACACACGGCCCGCTTGGCCATCACTGGCTGCAGATGATCATGCTACACTGCTTGGCCAATCAGCGCTGCGGGGAATTTAGTGCGTACTCAGTAGTCAACGTGTGACTGTTGTTGTCGTACGTCGTGTGATTTCTTTAATATTTTATCCATACTAACTATGTCGGGCAAAAGAAGAAAGTGGTCGGACGAATATGTACAACATGGATTCTCATGTATCACGGAACGTGATGGGAGTGAGCGTCCTATCTGCATGATTTGCAACGCCAAGTTGAGCAACTCTAGTCTTGCACCGGCAAAACTAAAGGAACACTTCTTGAAGCTGCATGGAGACGGGGAATACAAGAACACAACACTTGCTGAATTCAGGGTGAAGAGAGCCAGATTCGATGAAAGGGCCACTCTGCCTGCTCTTGGATTTGTACCTGTTAACAAACCGATCCTGACAGCATCGTACGAAGTTGCTTACCTGATCGCAAAGCAGGGCAAGCCACACACCATTGGTGAAACACTTGTGAAACCAGCTGCATTAAAGATGGCGAATCTGATACTCGGAACAGCGGCCGAAGGTAAATTATCCCAAATTCCCCTTTCAAATGACACCGTCAGTGACAGAATAGAAGACATGAGTAAAGACATCTTGGCTCAAGTAGTCGCGGATCTGATTTCAAGCCCGGCAAAATTCAGCCTTCAACTCGACGAAACCACAGACGTTTCTGATCTAAGCCAGCTTGCTGTTTTTGTACGCTATGTGAAAGACGACATGATAAAAGAAGAGTTTTTATTTTGTAAGCCTCTTACAACAACAACGAAGGCAGCCGATGTGAAGAAGCTTGTTGATGACTTCTTCAGAGACAACAATCTTTCATGGGATATGGTTTCTGCAGTTTGTACGGACGGAGCTCCAGTCATGCTGGGAAGAAAGTCTGGTTTTGGTGCGCTAGTAAAGGCCGATGCACCACACATCATTGTGACGCATTGTATTCTGCACAGGCATGCGTTGGCAACAAAAACCTTACCTCCAAAAATGGCAGAAGTATTCAAAACTGTGGTGGAATGTGTGAACTATGTGCGAAAAAGTGCTCTGAGGCACCGCATCTTCAGTGAGCTGTGTAAAGAAATGGGCTCTGAATTTGAGGTACTTCTGCTCCATTCTAATATTCGGTGGTTATCCCGGGGACAGGTGCTGAATCGTGTTTTTGCCATGCGTGTGGAATTAGCCCTGTTTTTGCAAGAGCACCAACACTGCCATGCAGATTGCTTCAAAAATCCTGAGTTTATTCTCATTTTAGCGTACATGGCTGATATATTCGCAGCTCTCAATCATCTCAATCAGCAGATGCAGGGTGGTGGAGTCAATATCATGGAAGCGGAAGAACACCTGAAGGCTTTTCAAAAAAAGC